AAATGAACCCGACATAACATAATGCCAATGATCCTATCATAATAGTACACAAATGAACCCAACATAACATAATGCCAATGATCCTATCATAATAGTATACAAATGAACCCATCATAACACAATGCCAATGAATCCATCATAACATTACCCAAGTGAACCCATCGTAAAATAATTCCAATAACCCCATCATAACACAACCCTAATAACCCATCATAACCTAAACCTATTGATCCTACCGTAACATAACCCCTATCAAAGACCCCATATACCACCCTAATTATCTATATGTAACATGTTCTACGCGTAGTCAGTGTTATAATGTTATCAACTGCGAAGCCACGGGCTCATACATCATTTGTGTTTCATAGCGTTGACTAAGACGGGTTCAAAGTCTGAGTCTGACAGGCGCGTGCCCATAAAACAGCCAATCGTAATAAAACAGACGAGGACAACACGAGTGGTGAAATCTGCAGGAGGTCGAGGCACCATTTTGTATTACAAGTTTCCGGTTACAGAATGGAACGCTCTTCTATTCTATCAAGTTATAAGACCGTACCTGTAGAAGAAATTTGATTTCTGTGCTGGGTTGTGTGTTTTTAAAAAAAAAATATTTTTTTGGGGGGGGGGTGGGGGGGGGTGGGGTGGGGTGTAAATTAATGCTTGTTTTTAGGGTTTGTTTAATTAATGATGTTTTTATGGGTTGTCTAATTAATGCTTGTTTTTATTCGTTATTAAATTTATTGCTTATTTGTAGGGGTTGTTTTATTAATGCTGTTTATGGGATTTGTTTAATCAATGCTTTTTTTAGGGATTGTTTAATTAATGCACAAGACATAGAAATCGGCGGGAACAACAAATGTATTCTTTAAGAAATTTTAAATTTATAACAAGTAGAATGTGTGACTATAACTCTAGTCAGTTATACATAGTAAGAAGTACAGGAAAAGCTCCCCATACCATGGCGCCCATGCCTTCTGCATTCTAGCCTCGATATCTGTCTCACATCCCCCATCCTTATTAACTAACCTTCCTAGATAGATACAGTTTATCTCCTTCTTCTAGAGTTGTACCTCTTATCGCTGTGATCTTTTTCCCCTCACTATTTTTGTTTTTGTTTTCATTTATTACAAGTCTAAAATGGCCGGAAATTGATGCGGTATTAATGTTATTCTAATTTTGTTTCCTTAATTTTATTCATCTTTACGATTAGCCAATATGGTCCTCTTTTGCAATAGCATAAATTATCTAATGAATTATTTTTTTGTCATTTATATCATAATGGAACAAGCAGACATCATCATTAGTAAGTGCTTAAAATATCAACATTTTATCTTTGTGAAATAGTTGGCATCACCTTGATCAATCTGTCTTTTGACAGCCACTCAAAGATCAATCTGTCCTTTGACAGCCACTCAAAGATCAATATGTCTTTTGACAGCCACTCAAAGATCAATCTGTCTTTTGACAGCCACTCAAAGATCAATCTGTCTCTTGACAGCCACTCAAAGATCAGTCTGTCTTTTGACAGCCACTCAAAGATCAATCTGTCTTTTGACAGCCACTCAAAGATCAATTTGTCTTTTGACAGCCACTCGAATTGGCATATTTAAAAAAAAAAAGAACACTCTTTTGCCGAGGAGAACTCATTCTTGTTGAATTCTAGCTGAATTCTGTATTAAATCACTTGTAACTCCATGTTCCAAACACCACACTGCCACATTCATTAAATAGACAACATCATAATCCACTTCTTTGAGCCAATTCATTTATTGATGTGTTGGATGAACAACCAAAAAATAAGGGCAGATTAACTCAATGCATGACAAAGAAATTAACTTCCAATCATCTCAACTCCTACTGTTATCAACATGTATGTTATATATGTCCTTCTTTGCCAACATATATATATGTCCTACTGTTATCAACAGGTCAAGTATGCTTAACTTAGTTGTGATAATTTACTATAAAATTGACCTACCATAAATTATTGCGCATAATGCGAGAAGTTTTGGGTGAGAAATGATTCTTGAAACTAGGAGGTTGCATTATATGAGTGCGTACAACATCTTTCATTACTAGTTAATGACATATAGGCCTACTAATGCCTGGCTATGCAACCCAATCATTTGACCTACTCACATTCGTCATCATATCTGTGCATAACACAAGTTATGTAAGGAGGGCACCTTTGATGGGATATTAACGCGGTATACTTTAAATAATTTAAGGAACATTTTTTTAATTAATAAATATTCCTTTCATTATAACTTGCCGCATTATTATGGATGCAGAATGAAACAGATCGCAGGATATATGGATATGGCATTTTTTGGCTTTTTCCAAAGACAGAGTTTGGGTTTCGCATTTTACACAATAATATACGGTGAGTAAAATACATTTAAAAGACATTTTTTTCAAAGAAAAAATGTTCAATGTAAGGAAGTGGTCAGATTTGATGTGTCTAGTAACTGGTCAGATTTGATGTGTCCAGTAACTGGTCAGATTTGATGTGTCTAGCAACTGGTCAGATTTGTCTAGCAACTGGTCAGATTTGATGTGTCCAGTAACTGGTCAGATTTGATGTGTCCAGTAACTGGTCAGATTTAATGTGTCTAGTAACTGGTCAGATTTGATGTGTCCAGTAACTGGTCAGATTTAATGTGTCCAGCAACTGGTCAGATTTGATGTGTCCAGTAACTGGTCAGATTTGATGTGTCCAGTAACTGGTCAGATTTGATGTGTCCAGTAACTGGTCAGATTTGATGTGTCCAGTAACTGGTCAGATTTAATGTGTCCAGTAACTGGTCAGATTTGATGTGTCCAGTAACTGGTCAGATTTGATGTGTCTAGTAACTGGTCAGATTTGATGTGTCCAGTAACTGGTCAGATTTGATGTGTCTAGTATTGTGATGAAAAATTGCACAAAAGTGAATGATAAAAAATAACTATCATTTCAATTATGGAGTCTTTTATTATCTTATGGTCAGCAGAAACCATCCCAGACATAGCAGACATCAGATAATTGTAAAACTTAAGTCTGTAGTAGACATTGTTAAAATTAGGTTGTTTTTCTCCATGTGGTGAGGGTAAACTGAGATGATCACAGCCCAATTTACTGTAACATCAAGAGCTGAATGAATACACAGACATGAACATACATAGTCAAATTTACATATACACTCATAAAAAACATTCAACGTCTATAAGTCAACACATAAACAAAAATCATATACACAGATGTGTACACACATGGACATATACACACATGCAAAAAGCAAAACTATTTAAACATTAACATGTACACATAGACAGGTTCAAACATTTATGTTATCTATTAATCTCTGATTAATTCAAATTGCTTAAATCTAATGATACAAGTTCATGATCATGCAAGTATCACACAAAAATAGACCAATAAAATTACTAGCTTCTTTGAGCCACATCAACAAAATACAGTGGTCTCCTATACAGGTCACAGAGGGCCCAAGCAGAAAACACAGTGGTCCCCTGTACACATCACAGAGTCCCTAAGTATGAATGCACAGTGAGCCCATTTAAGCAGATGTGTGATAAGGAATACAAGTGTTCAAGCACAAGTTTTCTCAATGACGGTCTGACCTATTCTCACTTACAACACCTTGACAGGCCTATCCTCTATGTTATACACTTGCAAGTACCCACAGAAGGTGGCACCTCTACTGTACCCAGGACTTAAACAGTACTTGTAACTGATACCTAATGAGGTTGTGTGCCCAGGTAGCATCACAACCATTGCACCAGAAGACATCATTTAGAGAGCATGACTACTTAACAGTAGCTGCTAAAGCAAGAAATACTCTCTGTACACTGCATCTATTACTGCATGCATGTTACAGTAGCTTCCTGGAACACAGAGATTGTTTGCACTGGATACAGCTAAAAAAATTGGGTAGGTCTTCAAGTACTGACTCAATGCTTTTCTGGCCTTATTGTTCACCAGTTAAAAAGTGTTATGGTTGCAGATAACAGATGTGTTGCCTTCGAGCTGAGTAAATTGGTTCTAGAGTAGAGGTTCTTAACGGTGGGGTAGGGGGGGGGGGCGCATAAGTCAAGGTTTGCAGGAGGCGAGGTCTGTAGGTGCGTAAATACCCATATAATCAGGTTTGTTTGCATATTTTATTTTGGGGATGCAGGAGAAAAATGTTTTGAAATGGTGATGGGAGTGCAGGAAATGTTTTGAAATGGTGATGGGAGTGCAGGAAATGTTTTGAAATGGTGATGGGAGTGCAGGAAATGTTTTGAAATGGTGATGGGAGTGCAGGAAATGTTTTGAAATGGTGATGGGAGTGCAGGAAATGTTTTGAAATGGTGATGGGAGTGCAGGAAATGTTTTGAAATGGTGATGGGAGTGCAGGAAATGTTTTGAAATGGTGATGGGAGTGCAGGAAATGTTTTGAAATGGTGATGGGAGTGCAGGAAATGTTTTGAAATGGTGATGGGAGTGCAGGAAATGTTTTGAAATGGTGATGGGAGTGCAGGAAATGTTTTGAAATGGTGATGGGCGTGCAGGAAATGTTTTGAAATGGTGATGGGAGTGCAGGAAATGTTTTGAAATGGTGATGGGAGTGCAGGAAATGTTTTGAAATCAAGAGGGTGCTGCATAAAAAGATTAAGAACCTGTTCTATTGAAAGCTTAGACTGCAGCTATTAGCTTCATGGCTGACTATGGCTTGGGCCTCTCCTCTCACAGAGGGAGTGTTCATTTATAGGTCATTGTTGACACAGGGAGTGTTCATTTACAGGACATTGTTGATACAATAACTATAGGCATTGATGACAATTTAGTTGTTTTTTTTCTGAATCAGTTTGAAGTCGAATTGTAGGAAATAAAGTTATTAATTTTCTGAATTATAAAAAAATAAATAATTAGCTCTACCCCCTCATCCGGTTTAAGACACCAAATTGAGGACAGACCATTTAGAATAATTACTCAATTGTTAGAGCCCCCGCCCTCCCCCCCCTAGGGGATGTCATAGTGACATCACCTAGAGTAGTAAAATTCCTCAAAAAGTCAAATGTTTGAAAGCCCTGACTGTGGCCAGTAACTGTATTAATTGTGATTGGCCGAGACTCAAGTTCCCAATACATGAACAAACAAAATCAGGCAGAATGAACAAACAAAATCAGGCAGATTGAAACTTGACCTCAGTAAACTAATTGTCACATTTCTAAGCAATAAATTAAACTAATTGTCACATTTCTAAGCAATAAATTAAACTAATTGTCATATTTCTAACCAATAAATTTTGGTGAGATTATTAAATAATGGAGCAAATTTTCATGAACATGAAAGACCAGATTAGAGCAACACAGTAACACTGGGGACATCCATATAGAATTTGAGAGGCTTGGTATATCCATATTGAATGTGAGAATCTGGGGAAATTCATATAGAATGTGAGAACCTGGGGACATCCAAAAAGAATGTGAGAACCTGGGGACATCCATACTGAAATTGAGAACCTGGGGACATCCATACTGAAATTGAGAACCTGGGGACATCCGTACTGAATGTGTGCTGGTTGCGTCAGTATATAATGAAAGGAACAAAGTAATGTTGAAGTAAAACAGGATAAAATTTAATCTAATCACGCTTCACCATTATTTCACTAATCACGCTTCACCATTATTTCACTAATCACGCTTCACCATTATATCACTAATCACGCTTCACCATTATTTCACTAATCACGCTTCACCATTATTTCACTAATCACGCTTCACCATTATTTCACTAATCACGCTTCACCATTATTTCACTAATCACGCTTCACCATTATTTCACTAATCACGCTTCACCATTATTTCACTAATCAATTTAACTATTATTTCAAACTCTTTGTTTGACAATTGGTGGAAAATTAAATCTTTATGACATAAAATTCAGATTTCATAATTATAATCTTGATTGGGACCAATATTTTATAATTACAACCTTAGTCAGAACAATATATTAGATAATTAGGCAAGCTCTCATAAAGCTCCAGTCAATTGGGTTGATGGTGAAATAAGCAGACAATTAACCCAGATAATAATTCTTGGACTTTTGACCAGGACAATCATTTAGATTTTTAAAATTTTTTTAAATTCTGAATTGTCCTCCCTTAGTCCTGGATTGTGGCCCTTTGCTAGTGGCACACCTGAATCCAGCGTTCATCTTTGTCATCAAGTGTTCAATCTTCTTGACCATGGCACAACCAGGGATGAGGGTAGGTATAACATGAGATGAAAGCAAAGTTCATGTGGACCAAAAAGAAAACATGATCAAACAATAAAATTAGAAACAAAGTTGTTGTTTTTAAAATAAATATATTTGACCTAGCATTCTCACAATTCGTATCCCGGCAAAAGCAAAACATACGCAATAGTAACATTACAGGTCAGGGCGTGACAACATATCAACAAGGCAAAGTATAAACACTTGGTTCAACTACAATGACCAGTACTCTACTTTGCCATAAAGAGAAAATAATGAATCTCTACTTTGAATGGTTTGTTTTATGTCATAATTTGTGTTTGTATCTAGAGCAAGTTTGATAATGAGATCCTTAGGGCTACCGGTTGGGTGGACTACCTAGTCATCTATAGAAGCACAACCTGATACAGGGCTGTAGTCATGTGGACCAGCTCCCTGGCCATCTCCACTATTTCACATGGTGTCATGTGGAAAAATTTAAATGTAACATGTGTATGAATTAACTAAGATTAGTGGTTTGACCACTGAGCCAACAGTCTTCACATTTTTGGCATCTAAGCTTACAGCATTCATCTTTGAAATGATTTGTGTTTTATTATGAAAAATTTACACATTTTCTTCAACCATAAATTAAATTGAACAATAAAGCTCTCAAATATTAGATTCCTGTACAGATGGGATTTTCCATCATTAGATTAAAGTCATAAAATGAACTAACCATTCTGTTATATTGCTATACAAGCGTTCAAGTGCTCAAATGAAGTGAAATACAAGCAAATTAAAATACAAAGTCATTTAGGAAAAGTGATATCCTAACCATCAGCCACAAAGAGGATAAGTAGTATTTGACATTCTAACCATATGTTACAAGAGAATAAGTAGAATCTTAAACCTAACCATCTGTCACAAGAGTAGGAATACGGCCGTCAGAGGATGCCCCTGGGCTCTGCTGGACAAGTTCTGAGTGACAGCGACGGCAGACGCGAACAGGTTTATGAAGTTGTTGGTCCGGGACAGGAGACTGGTAATTGGAACAGGAGAAGCAGAAAATTCTCCCACATTTCCTGTGGAACAACACAAGAAATACTATACACTTACAGTTCAGGAAAAAATATGAATAAGACTACTTATATAAGTGTGCACAAAAATAAATGAATACAAAACTATTGAATTTATGAAACTATGAAAATGACTGAGACACTGACATTCATGAACAGATTATAATATATCAATAAATGTAAAGATATATATTAGTATAGCGTAAAAAAATAAAAGCACTTGTATCCACTTCCCACCAGCACAGTGTAACATAACGTAAAAAGACATTGTCTCATTCAACTTTGTCAAGACGGACTTGATTTATTTCGCTTTGTTAATTTAAAAACAGCAATCTGTATTCCTGCAACTCATATAATTAACTGATCAACTATTGCTATCAAATTCCATCTTTTATGTTAAAATTGCTGATCCGTGTTAATAAACTAAAAATTGGACAAACTATGGACAGAACTATTTACAGCAGAGTGGATATTATGTATGAACCTATCTTGTTGCTAAGGGGGAGAGATAGGTTAAAGTATAAAAAATTTGGTTTCTGCCAGACATTTTCTCTCTACCTGCAGTGATGTTTGGGTCTCAAGACCCAGAACTGTTCTCCACATCCTGCACAGTGTGTGACGGCAGTGTCAGGAACCCACATCACTATTTTGGACTCAGACTCATCAACGTTTTCCCAGCTGGCATCTGAAGCCGGGTTTCCAAGGGAACAAAGAGAACTATTGTCCCCCCCTTCAGATTCACTCATCAACTGGGGATAATTCAAAAACTTCTTTCAAAGGGCTACCTTGTCAATTTCAATATTAACATACATTTTAAGAATTAAACCTTGACAATAAGAAGCAAAACATTTTTTTTTCCTCATAGGATTCCATGCCTAGAGTGGTTCAGACTCATCTTCCATGCCCAGAGTGGTTCAAACCAGGGTTGCCAACCGCCCGTAAATTTACGGACAGTCCGTAAAGATTTGTTGTAAAATTGCCTGTCCGTAAAATTCCGTTAAAAAATTAAAACGTCCTTAAAAAAATGGACAAAATGTGGACTCTCTCAAAACCAGTAAATCATGTTTGTGATATCTATTTTCTTGATTTAAATTTTAATTTTTAAATTGTTTTAGTGGCATCCCGCGCTCTATTAATAAACTGGAAGAGCTTTCTGGACAGCTAGGCTCGCGTGGCGCATCGCGGCAAGATGGATTTGTTAAGACAGATCGCTAGTCGTTACGTCACAATTACGCATAAATTATGACGACATAGATATAAAAATTGTATCTGTTTTTTTAAAAAATGGCGGAGAAGATGAATACAAGCGAAGACAATAGCCGCAGTGAAAACTGTGAAATAAACGAAAATGCGGATAAAATTATTGTTAAAAAAGCTAAAGTGAACAGAAAATGCTATTTTCAACCTACATGGATTGCAAACGGCGAATTTAAGGACTGGATATCAACGGACAATGATTCCAAATATAACGCTGTATGTACGTGCTGTAGAAAGATATTTAGTGTTGCATCTGTTGGTGTACGAGACGTTCGCAGCCACGGTAGAAGCGCAAAACATGTTCAGGCAATATCAACAAGGACATTTGCTGGTGGAATGTTGCAGTTCTTGACTAAGGATAAAAAGCCATCTCCTGTAACGGCTCACAACAAACAGGTAACAGAATGGGAATTAAAAGTGGCACATTTTGTCGCAAGAAAAAACTTGCCACTAAGTTTAATGGACGACATCTCGGAAAATGTTGCAGATTGGTTTCCTGATTCAAAAATCTCTAAAGATTTCAGCTCTAAACTAACAAAGGGATCTATGATGATTAAAAATGTCATTGGCAAACTGAACAAAGCAGTTTTGTCCACTAAGTTAAGATCATGTCATTTTACTCTGTTGGTTGACGAATCAACTGATATATCAACCACAGTAAAAATGGCCATGGTGGTGATTTACTTCGATGTTGAAATTGGTAAGGTTCAATAAAGATTTTATCGTTTAGTTGATTTAAAAGAAGCAAAAGCAGAGTTCATTTTTGCTGCAATCAAGGCATGTCTGGACGAAAATAAAATACCACTGGCCAATGTAATGGCACTTGGAACTGATGGAGCTAACGTAATGATTGGAGCCAAAAATTCCGTGCTTTCACGTTTCAGAAGTGTACAACCAAATATATTTCCTAGACACTGCACATGCCATGGAGCTGCTCTATGTGCCGCTGAGGCATGTAAAACATTTCCCAAATTTATTGAACAGCTATGCAGAGACATTCACAGCCATTTTTCACATAGTTGCAAAAGATTACAGCCGTACAAAGAGTTTCAAGAGTTCGTGGAAGCAGACACTCTAAAAATATTGCAGCTGCGACCAGATGATTGAGCCTGTTGGAGTGTATTCATCGTATTGTTAACCAATATGATGCACTTTCAAGCAATTTTCAATCAAGTGATGAGTGTGACCGGTTGGTTACAGTGGATAGAATTAGCACTCAATTGCAAAATCCTGTCGTTAAATGTTATTTTTTTGTTTTTGCAAGCCTATGTTTACTCAGTTCAACAAAATGTTTCAATAATATTCTCCGATTTTACCAGATTTATATGCAGAGGCAAATCAACTGTTGAAAAGTGTGTTTGGTTACTATATACGACCACAGGTGCTGATACGACCACAGGTACTGATACGACCACAGGTACTGATACGACCACAGGTGCTGATACGACCACAGGTACTGATACGACCACAGGTACTGATACGACCACAGGTACTGTTGTTAGTTGAAGAAGTAACGAGTTTTGATCACTTGGAAAGTACAAACTTTAAATCACGCGATAACATATTCATTGGTTATCAAACTAAACTACAGCTGCAAAAAGTAGATGATCCATCGACTGTTGAAAAGTTTTATGTTGATGTTCTTGCATTTTATACCAATGCAGTCGGTGCAATCCAGAAAAGAATGCCTATTAGCCAAAGAGTGCTGAAGCTCATGTCAATACTAAAACCCACTAACAGAATATCGGTGGAACAGTTGGAAATTGTGGAACTGGCCCAGCTTTTTCCACAAATTGTGTCTCCAGCAGATTTTGATTGTTTAAAAGCCGAGTTTATTGACTACCAAGATGCGGATTTAAGCAATCTCAAGGCCGACGGAGGTTATGATGCTTTCTGGCATCAAATTGGACAAATGACTAGAAATATCGAAAACAAAGAGTACAGATTTCTGCTACTTTCGAAGTCTGCACAAACAATGTTGGCCCTTCCACATGGAACAGCAGAAGTAGAATGCGTTTTTTCTGCTGTTAGTTTATTGAAAACCAGTTTGAGAAACAAAAACCAATTTGAGAAACAAATTCGCTACTCTAAGGTTGGAAAGTTTACTGACTGTAAGAAATGGACCGGGAAAAATTACTTCCACAAATTACTTCTACAGTGCTTGGATTATGCTTCATATTTGTTCGTTTTAAGGTCAACATTTTATGTTAAATGTGCCCGTAAAAAATTTTTTTTTTTCCGTAAATTTTGTAGAGAGTTCTTATATTTGTCAGTAAATGTTATTTTATTGAGTTGGCAACCCTGGTTCAAACTCATCTGTCTTATAGCACTGCTCCAAGCTCCCAAAAATAAAATGAATTAATTTTTTAAATTAACAAGTTATTAAGTTTTAAAAATTTCACAGAAAAAAAAATGGCCATTTTAAATTAAATAACAGTATGAGATAAAGCATGGATTGCAATGAACAAACATGGAGCACATCATAGCAATGAACAAACATGGTGCATATCATAGTAATGTATAAACAAACATGGAGCACACATTAGCAATTAACAAACATGGAGCACAACATTAGCAATGAACAAACATGGAGCACACCATTAGCAATGAACAAACATGGAGCATATCATAGTAATGTATGAACAAACATGGTGCACACCATAGCAATCAACAAACATGGAGCACATCATAGCAATGAACAAACATGAAGCACACCATAGCAATGAAAAAACATGGAGCACATCATAGTAATGAATGAACAAACATGGAGCACACCATAGCAATGAACACACATGGAGCACATCATAGCAATGAACAAACATGGAGCACACAGTAGCAATGAACAAACATGGAGCACACAATAGCAATTAACAAACATGGGGGACAACATAGCAATGAACAAACATGGAATATTTTAATACTTAAAAATGTAAGAGCCTCATCAGTAATTTAGGAGCATCTTCACAATTTTCTAACATGACTTACTGTTCAAGTCTTTTTGTTATATCTTATTATACGTTTTCTTTAAAGCCAACAGGATTTTATTTAAAATTTAACTTCAAAATTCATTAAATGCCATATTGGGGTGATATCACACTTGTCTTGCAGATACCTAATTTGCTACAATCCAATAAAAACATTCAAGTTTGTATTTTAGAACTACCTAGACCAGGGGTTCTTAATTCCTTTTATTTTTTTTTGTTCTATGGACACCTTTGCTAGTCAGCTGGAAAGTCCCAGACTCATTTTCATTTTTATTATTTTTTTTTGTACTGCAATACTGGGGTAGACCCTTTTTAAAATCTGTCCTTTTGGGTATCCTCGCCATGCGGCTCTCTCTTTTGCTCTGACCCACCGTCCCGACCCAAGCTGCAAACCAAGTGAGAAAATTTCAACTGAAATGCAGCTCACTGACAGCTTTTCACTGACCTCCAAGAGGTACATGGACCACAGGCTGTGAACCTCTGCCCTAGATTTACACCTGGTATTCAGAATGCTTTTCAAAAGTCTGTTAATCAGTTGATTACTGATTTTCTGGTGCAACCCTACCATAGATGGACAGAGCTATGAGCACAGCTGAAGCTTTATAAAAAAAACAAATGGCATGGAGCAGGGCTTGGCAAAAAAAAAAGTCTGCTCCACAAGCCAGTCATATAGTCATTGTATTCACTGCCCCACAAGCCAGTCATATAGTCATTGTATTGACTGCTCCACAAGCCAGTCATACAGTCATTGTATTGACTGCTCCACAAGCCAGTCATATAGTCATTGTATTCACTGCCCCACAAGCCAGTCATGTAGTCATTGTATTCACTGCTCCACAAGCCAGTGATATAGTCATTGTATTCACTGCTCCACAAGCCAGTCATATAGTCATTGTATCGACTGCTCCACAAGCCAGTGATATAGTCATTGTATTCACTGCTCCACAAGCCAGTCATATAGTCATTGTATTGACTGCTCCACAAGCCAGTGATATTGTCATTGTATTCACTGCTCCACAAGCCAGTGATATTGTCATTGTATTCACTGCTCCACAAGCCAGTCAAATTGTCATTGTATTCACTGCTCCACAAGCCAGTCATACAGTCATTGTATTGACTGCTCCACAAGCCAGTCATACAGTCATTGTATTGACTGCTCCACAAGCCAGTCATACAGTCATTGTATTCACTGCTCCACAAGCCAGTCATATAGTCATTGTATTCACTGCTCCACAAGCCAGTCATATAGTTATTGTATTCACTATCCAATTTGGTTGTCCAATTCATTGTTGTCCTTCTGTTTATTATGATGCTGAACTTTGAACTCTAATAAACAGCAGAGTTGCATGAAGACCCAAGACAAAAGGTTTTCTGTAAATGATAGGCTGGGACTTTCAAATGTTCTACACATTTTATATAACTTAAAACACACAGAGATACCCATTTTAATATATTGGTAGCCACCCCCATGAAGCCCATACTTACATAGACTATACAAAATCTGGTGCAACAGCCAGACTGGCAAGTTCTAGACTTGTCTGATAAAAGAATTCAGGACTGTCTTAGCTTTTCTCCTGGTACAATATGCTAGTATTTTTTTCAATCACCCAACCATAAAAAATTGACTTACATATTCATCCATGTAGTTGTTGGGCAGTTGCTGGTGTCTTATACCCTTTATCTGATCTAGAGCGTGCAGGTAACGGTTTTCCATTTCAAAAAACAATCTGTCCTTTTCTAAGAAGCACTCTGTAAGTAGTCGCTGTCTCTCATCACAGAAGAGTGTCAGTCCATCCACATCGATGTGTTGTTTAATGCTGGGTTGTCTGTCCATGCAAGGACTTGTAAGCTACAAAGTTTCATGATTTAGTGGAAATGAAATGATCAGATGGGAAATGGGGAAAACTTTTAAGAAAAGATATCTTATGATGAGCCCAAAAATAAATCAATGATTGCCCTAGCATGCCCACATATAAATCAATGATTGCCCTAGCATGCCCACATATAAATCAATGATTGCCCTACCTTGCCCACATATAATTCACTGATTGCCCTAGCAAGTCCGCATATAAATCAATGATTGCCCTAGCATGCCCACATATAAGTCAATGATTGCCCTAGCATGCCCACACATAAATCAATGATTGCCCTACCATGTCCACATATAAATCAATGATTGCCCTACCTTGCCAACATACAAATGACTGATTACCTTAAATGACTGATTGACATAAATAACTGATTGACCCACCTTGCCCACACATAAATCATTGATTGACCCACCTTGCCCACACATAAATCATTGATTGACCCACCTTGCCAACACATAAATAACTGATTGACCCACCTTGCCCACACATAAATCATTGATTGACCCACCTTGCCAACACATGAATCACTGATGTCTGTGGTGCTAGTTGCAACTGTCGCACCAAGCCAGCTCCTAGTTACCAGATCCCCCCCACTGGGGTGCCGAAGTCGACCGGTGTCATTCCAGTTTCCTCTACAGCCACTGGGAGATGCGCTCAAATCGCGACTGGCTCCCGATGCGGCCCTGGCTCTCCTTGACATCAGGTTATTCCCACCACTGACATCGGTCAAGGCTGTGAGACTCTCCCTCTTCAAGGGGCATAACAAGGATGAGAGAGAAGAGGTTGCACGGTTGTCAGGTGTTGTGCCAACTTCTAAAAAATAGGGCTCAACAGACAGAACGGAGTCGCCTTTTCCAGACTCTATATCATCTGTGAGTGTATCCGTGGATGCAGAATTAATACTAGTCCTTGTGTTATCCGCTTGGTTGGGTGAATGGATGCCAATGAATTGATTTCTCTCCAATCTGGAGGCTCCAGATTCTGGCTGACCAGATTTCCCATTAATGTAAGTCAAATGCTTGGTGCCATTGATCAGTTGATTAGCAGCAGAAGTAGAAGAATGTTCCTTGTCATGCTTGTCCATGGAATGCTGGTCCTCATCACAATTGCTATGATTCCTAAAATTACTATTATATAAATAATGAATGTCGGTGTCATTGTGCTTCCAATTTGATTCGGCGAGACGCTCAGCCAGTAGAGACATCTGCCTCTGATTGTAGTCTGACAAATTGGAGACTGAGGCGGCTGTCTGCGGTGGCACCCCATCACCAATATAGAATTTATTATTTGAACTAAGACTTTGGCTCCTCACGGCTCGGCAGTCGTGGCCCTTACAAACACCGTTTGGGATATAATTGCGTGAAAGCACATTGGGTTCAAAGGTCGAAATGTTACAACATAAGGTCACGCCACTTTTAGGACTGTCACAACACAACGCATGTTCACATTTACCCATTGTCTCCGGACAGAAAACAACTGATGATATAAGACCTAAGGAACTTCCATTGAGTTCTGCGATATTCTCTCCGTTAATACTGGTGCCGTGTACATCAGTTTCACAAAATGTGTACGAGTGATTTCCATTAAGCACGGCTGCAGGTGCAGCTGGTCTATCTTTAGAAATAATGTCATGTGGTGTCAAATGAACAACCTGCTCTGTGTTGTCTTCCAAAGAGATATTTGCTGTTGATGGTTGGATTTCCTGTAACTCTACTGAATCCTCCCCAGTGCAGACGCCGAGCAATTTGGGAGCAGAGGATGAAGCTAACTCCTCAGCACAATGGATCATTTCATGGGAAGATGATGTGTTGTGTTGACCGTGTGTGACCACGGAGCTGGCAGATTCCTGGCTCTGGGTTATGCTTGGGTCACTGTTACGCCGACCACTGTCCATACTGGCTTTAGACAAGTCATCCATCGACCTGAAAGAAGAGATTTGAAAATTGTGATAAGGAAAATTTGAGATATTAACATTGGAATTTTTTTTAAACAGCTGGTTTACATTTAATAGTCCTTATTAATCTCTCCTTTTTATATAAAACACAGCGTATCTCTGATTTGCTGTTATACCCAATGCTAAATTCAATTGAGCTGCACACCCGGTGCTTGAAATAGAATTTTTATTTGGGCACAACTTTGCATTGTACACTGACTGGAAGTAAGGTAATATGCCAGAAAATAATTGTCTCCCAAGCTTTCATACATTTAATATTGAGTGCTTTATGTTGGTCAAATATTCACCATTACTCAACAGTATTGCCAAACAATATCGACAGAAATGTTTATACAAAAAATGTCTTGGTTTATCTTATTTGTTTAATGTTTCCTCTTAGTATTATTTTCTTCTATTTCTTTTTTGGGTTGCCATTATGGACTTATTATGTGGCATTTTTTGGTGGATTTTTAACTAAAAAAATATAAATTAATATTGGGAAAACATTGGTTACTGGAGAGGTGGGCACAGGGGTCAGCTCTTATCAGGAGTTGATACAAAATAGTCTACAGTCAAATGGAATAGACAAAGATGCAAGAATCCTTATAAGTTATCAAAGATTAACAATCCCTGTACATCTATGAAATCTTTCTTGCACTAACATTTTTCACTCACTTCGACCGAGGCACTCCGTCCACAGGTAAGTTGGCTCCGTCCTCACTTCCACCAGCTGGAGAGGAATCTAGGTAAAAGTCAATTTGACTTCCGTGCGGCCATGGGGAGAGCCCTGCCATATAAACAGATTTCCACAGGACAACGTCATGTTCGCTAAATTTGGCTGTCAACACCTGTATGAATAGCATATAAAATTTTATCGTATATTCTTTAATTAATGGTCAATTGACCACTGCCCCCTCTCACCCCCACACACATTCATCCCTGTGCTGCCACCCTTGCCCACTCTAACTCACATACACTCGCTGTGAGGCACACAGATGGTTCAGTTTCTTTTTCTAACATTTAAAATAGTTTCCAGTTCACAGCAGGTTCATCCATAGACAGTTAAAAAAAACCTGTGACAATAGGACAGGGTCAACCATTGACAGTTGAAAAAAAAAACCCTGTGTGCAAGGTCTGTGACAATAGGACAGGGTCAACCATAGACAGTTGTAAAAAAAAAACCTGTGTGCAAGGTCTGTGACAATAGGACAGGGTCAACCATTGACAGTTGTAAAAAGCCCCTGTGTGCAAGGTCTGTGATATTCTGACAGATCTGTGTTAAATAAGATTTAATTTTTTCAACAAGCTTTCAATAGAGACATTTCCAAGAAAATGGGATGAATGGAAAAAAAGGAATTAATTTTATTTACATCCCAGATGTGAACATACATATCCATTTGCTTTTCTAGAACCTGTTTGTTTATTGTTTCATCAAACATAAGGACATAAGTAGAAGCTGCTCTTTTATTCTTTTCAAAGCATAACAGCAAAGTAGGGTGCTTTACCAAAAGTGCTGAGACATGCAGACTTCCTATAGCACATGGAAGTGTTACTTCCCAAGTAGGAATTATGGCCTTGAAAAAATCTGTCTGACAAACACACCAGAAAGATTTCAAATGGAAAACAAATTTATTCAGCATTTCAGCACCACATCTCCACATGGTATTAATCAAATACTCTCCCACTCATGTTGCTCAATTTCCCTGGATTTCTTCTTTTTTCTTACTCCTTACATTTTACGTATCCCTAAATATTTTGGTCTGTTAAATTCTGGACCTTATTTTTCACAGTAACAATATTTAAATTTTTTTCACTTCCTGTAATCCTACTTCCGGCAACAACCAAGGAGATCTCTAAAGTTTTTTTTACTGTGCTCTGTTTCTTGTCGTACTTCTATCTGTCCTGTTCACTGAAGAAGGCTCTAAGCTGAAATGTCCACATATTATTGCCATGTCTTTTGATTCAAGCTTCAACATACCTTGTTTTACTATTTCAAACAATCTGCAGTGTCTTTGAAAGAATTGAAGCTGTAATGGCTATTTAATTGAAATTAAATTGTCCAAATCATTTCAGCGATAGTCACTTGCGTCTTTGTGCAGAAATACTGAATGTTAACATGTTTTGCTGTTGATCCCTGTCCATGACAGGCTCTTGATGGTAATGGTACTGGGTCAGCATTTTTATTTGTAATGGGAGCACAAGGAACAGGAGCTTTCTTCTTCTGAATGTGCTTTCTTACTCAAATGTAATAAAACAACAAATTATAATATTGCACTCAGTCCAGACTAATATTATTATTATTAATCACACTTAATCTCATATTAAAATTAACTGGTAGCCTTTAGGCTGGATACAATCATTTGCAGTAGCCAAATTTAGTAATTTCATTTAATTAAATAATTATAATTATCGGAAAGAACCCAGAAAAGTGTCAGTAAAATGTACATTTGTTTCAATTATTCAAATTTTCACTTCATCAAGTGAATTAATAAATAGCTGTTCAGATGAGGTATCATTTTCTAAATATTTTTTTTGTGCAAACATTTCAATGGCAATAGGTTCCTGTTTTTTTTACCCAAAACTTGTATTCAGACTGATCAAGCCATAATATATCTTTAAAAGACTGAACGTCAGGCCTCTTCAGTATGTACACTCTTTCATAGATTTTTAGTATTTTAATAGAAAACGCATGTCTTGCTATTCCAAATTGAAAATGATAATGAAGGCCAATCAATTTTATGTATTTGCCAAACCTGTGCACACCCACACTCTCACATGAGCACCCACACTCTCACATGCATCCCCCACATACACACCATATGTAAATCCCAATGTCCCATCACAACACACTCTCATATGCACACCGAGTTATACATCATATCGTTACTTGAGAGCAATGAAGTACAAAGTGTCCAAAATTCAAGCAACCAGTTTTGTAATTTTCTAACTTCATTTTATAATTAAATAATCTATATGCTATTCAACATGTCAGCTTTGCAGAGTCAAAAGCATTGTTATTAAGGAACATATCATTAACTGCCCTTTAGATAAATCTACATACATGACATGACAACGTGGGCTTTGTCACATAGGACACTCTTGCTCTCAATAGACCAGAGAGATATATTGTCAGTTAGTATTCATAAAATCAGTAATCTTTGTAACAAGGCAACTGATCTGTTGTCTCCAGGAGCTTTATTAATTGATGGAGTTGTCTTGTCATAGATTTATAGAGATGGTGTCTTGTCATAGACTTATACAGATGGTGTCTTGTCATAGACTACTATAATTGGTGTCTTGTCATAGACATAGTTGGTGTCTTGTCATAGTCATAGAGTAATATAGTTGGTGTCTTGTCATAGACAGTTGGTGTCTTGTCATAGACTAATATAGTTGGTGTCTTGTTATAGACTAATATAGTTGGTGTCTTGTCATAGACTAATATAGTTGGTGTCTTGTCATAGACTAATATAGTTGGTGTCTTGTCATAGACTAATATAGTTGGTGTTTTGTCATAGACTAATATAGTTGGTGTCTTGTCATAGACTAATATAGTTGGTGTCTTGTCATAGACTAATATAGTTGGTGTCTTGTCATAGACTAATATAGTTGGTGTCTTGTCATAGACTAATATAGTTGGTGTCTTGTCATAGACTAATATAGTTGGTGTCTTGTCATAGACTAATATAGTTGGTGTCTTGTCATAGACTAATATAGTTGGTGTCTTGTCATAGACTAATATAGTTGGTGTCTTGTCATAGACTAATATAGTTGGTGTTTTGTCATAGACTAATATAGTTGGTCTTGTCATAGACTAATATAGTTGGTGTCTTGTCATAGACTAATATAGTTGGTGTCTTGTCATAGACTAATATAGTTGGTGTCTTGTCATAGACTAATATAGTTGGTGTTTTGTCATAGACTAATATAGTTGGTGTCTTGTCATAGACTAATATAGTTGGTGTCTTGTCATAGACTAATATAGTTGGTGTTTTGTCATAGACTAATATAGTTGGTGTCTTGTCATAGACTAATATAGTTGGTGTCTTGTCATAGACTAATATAGTTGGTGTTTTGTCATAGACTACTATAGTTGCTGTCTTTTCATAGACTAATAAAGTTCATAGAAATATTTTATTTTCTGTGATGTCTTGTCGGAGACAAAACAATTTTGTATTTTGTCATGGACTAAAACAGTTGTATCATCATAGTCTAAAACAGTAGGTGTCTGGTCATAGACTAAAGTATTTAGTATCTTGTCATAGACTAAAACAGTTGTATTGTCACAGAAATACTTTACCTGCTGTGATGTCTTGTCATAGAGCAAGTTGACAAACTGGATATTTTCTGGCCTTAGCAGTGACCAAACTGAGGCTGTGTTTTTACCCCAGTTTTCTCTCTCTTTCTGGCAATTGTACAAGAAGTTGCCAAATAAGCATGCCTGGGAGTGTTTCAGGAGCTTCACCTGTAGGAAGCCATTTTCAAGTTGGTTACTGAAGTGGCACATATAAATGAACTAATGGGACAAAATTTATTTTTTTGATATACAGCAATGCTAAAAGAATAATGATAGCTGTTTATGAAAATATTAAGAAACCAACCAGATAGGCCTCATTGAACTGAAACTCAGCAGGGTATTGCAAGGTTAGCTGATAGACACAGTCCAAGAACTGGAGAAAAACGGGGCTGATCTGGTTGGTATCAGAGCAGTTGGGGTCATGGCCACCTCTCTCAGCAAACTTGTGGCCAAAGTGGAGCCACTCTCTTTCCACAACAACTTGGAATCCCTGAGGAAACAAATTAGCTTTGATAATTTATTTTCACTTAAAATAGAAATCATTTTCTGATCAAGTTTGATCACTTTGACAGATACTTTAAATAGCCAAACTAGCTTGGTTTAAAGTACATTCTGTCTGCTTATTTTTGTTACATCTTGCTGTGATTTTTTTTTTTACATATTGTATGAAAATTATAAATCTCGTACATAAATTTTAATATATCTTGTGTGTGTTTTATATCTTATAAATATTATATATTAAATCTTATGTGTATATCACGGCACATGGATAATGTGTGAACGGCATGACATGGGAAGAGTGTTGTGTGTATATCACGGCACATGGATAATGTGTGAACGGCATGACATGGCATGACATGGGAAGAGTGTTGTGTGTATATCACGGCACATGTGTGAATGGCATGGCATGACATGAGAAGAGTGTTGTGTGTATATCACGGCACATAGATAATGTGTGAATGGCATGGCATGACATGAGAAGAGTGTTGTGTGTATATCAAGGCACATAGATAATGTGTGAACGGCATGACATGGGAAAAGTGTTGGCCTTTACTAAAGTATACAATGAACCTCCCCAACATACCTCAAACGTCCTGTAGTATGGGTCCATCATGACCTCTGAGAGGGAGACAATCTGTGAGGTGCGATCCCATCCATCAGAGCAGTGCACCAAAACGGGCCTCTTCTTGACATGCATCAGCTCAACAACCATGTTGGCGCCACGCAGTAGTGCTGAGATATAGGTCAGCCACATGCTGCCAGACAGGTTCTTGTAATACCTGGACACAGGGAATAGTTAGTATCTTTAGTTCATATTTCATTCAAATTTATATTAATGGAGGAGGCGTAACCTACACCTGACTTTATATAATCACAACTGAACCAAATCACGAATAAACAATCTCACATCCTTCCCTCGCAATTTTAACAAAGTCAAGTCCTAGCCTAATTATGATTTAACAAAGTCACATCTAAATTTAATCATGAATTAAACTAGTCATTGCATGACCTAATCAGGATATAATCACAACTAAACTTAATCATGATTTAACCTAGTCATTACATGAGCTAATCAGGATATAATCACAACTAAACCATAATGTCACTCTATTCCCAAACAAACCAAATGCAGAATGCACGTGACTTACGTGCCCTCCACATAGCTATGACAAAGCGTCCGGAGTTTGTTGAAGCTGTCCCTCACAGTGTGTATGTTGGCCAGGTCAAGATGAATGATGTTACACTTGTACACAACTGTAAAATATTAAAAAGTGACATAAATAAATTGAAAGTGTTTCCTAAAGTGGTGTCAGCAGACTGGCATTGGTCCACAAGCCTTATGTTGCCAGTCGGCCCAACATCATAAAAGACGCTGGCTAAAAGTTAAATAAAGTTAAACATCCATTACAAAAACAACTTGTAATGGCTAGCGTTAAATGGTAATAATTAATGGAGTCTCTAAAATTGGCTATTATAGGTTTAAAAATATATAATGCCCTAAAGGTGCAATGGGAAACTTTTCAGCCAAACTTAAAAGTTTGAGAACCATTGAGATAGAATAATATCAAATAAATAATCTGTACACATTTTTTTCAAAACAAAAATTTCACAATTGATCATAAAAAAAATGCCCCAAAAATGTATCTTGAAAAAAGCATTTCACAAACTTACATCATGGCAAACCCCATTTATTATTTTCTTTTTTGTTTTGTTGTTGAGCCAGCGCTATTACAGCAACAAAATTTTCAATACATTTTTTAAATTTTAGTTTTGGTACAAATTACAAGAGCAATGCGTGGAGATTCTAAAAGTATCAAACTTCTTGTAGGAGAGAAATATTAGTTGAAAAGCCTCTCCCATCCTTGTTGTTTGTCCGTCGAGGATCGATGAGGACCATCAAGTCGTCTGGTGACTGATGACTTGCGCGGGTGACTTTTGTTTAAAGCAAGGAAGAGTTGCGCGGCGTCAACCTCATTCTCTCGTCCGGGACCACCATATCCAGTGGCAAGACGCTACGCCAAATGACCAGGGATGGGTACGGTTTCAGGAGTTCCTGTAAGGCGCTTACCCATCCTTGTACACACAATCTGATCATCTAAGCTTCTAGTATTTGTAACATATGAAACAACCCTTTGTAAAAATAAAGTATTTTTAAAAGCAAACCAGAAACCCTTGAACATCTTTAGGCCACCATTCTTTTGTCTACCTCATTCTGAAATTATTTCGTCTACCACATTCTTAAATTCTACACCAGTACCCCATTCTTAAATTCTACACCAGTACCCCATTCTTAAATTCTACACCAGTACCCCATTCTTAAATTCTACACCAGTACCCCATTCTTAAATTCTACACCAGTACCCCATTCTTAAATTCTAAACCAGTACCCCATTCTTAAATTCTACACCAGTACCCCATTCTTAAATTCTACACCAGTACCCCATTCTTAAATTCTACACCAGTACCCCATTCTTAAATTCTACACCAGTACCCCATTCTTAAATTCTAAACCAGTACCCCATTCTTAAATTCTACACCAGTACCCCATTCTTAAATTCTACACCAGTACCCCATTCTTAAATTCTACACCAGTACCCCATTCTTAAATTCTACACCAGTACCCCATTCTTAAATTCTAAACCAGTACCCCATTCTTAAATTCTACACCAGTACCCCATTCTTAAATTCTACACCAGTACCCCATTCTTAAATTCTACACCAGTACCCCATTCTTAAATTCTACACCAGTACCCCATTCTTAAATTCTACACCAGTACCCCATTCTTAAATTCTACACCAGTACCACATTCTTAAATTCTACACCAGTACCCCATTCTTAAATTCTACACCAGTACCCCATTCTTAAATTCTACACCAGTGCCCCATTCTTAAATTCTACACCAGTGCCCCATTCTTAAATTCTACACCAGTACCACATTCTTAAATTCTACACCAGTACCCCATTCTTAAATTCTACACCAGTACCCCATTCTTAAATTCTACACCAGTACCCCATTCTTAAATTCTACACCAGTACCCCATTCTTAAATTCTACACCAGTACCCCATTCTTAAATTCTAAACCAGTACCCCATTCTTAAATTCTACACCAGTACCCCATTCTTAAATTCTACACCAGTACCCCATTCTTAAATTCTACACCAGTACCCCATTCTTAAATTCTACACCAGTACCCCATTCTTAAATTCTACACCAGTACCCCATTCTTAAATTCTAAACCAGTACCCCATTCTTAAATTCTACACCAGTACCCCATTCTTAAATTCTACACCAGTACCCCATTCTTAAATTCTACACCAGTACCCCATTCTTAAATTCTACACCAGTACCCCATTCTTAAATTCTAAACCAGTACCCCATTCTTAAATTCTACACCAGTACCCCATTCTTAAATTCTACACCAGTACCCCATTCTTAAATTCTACACCAGTACCCCATTCTTAAATTCTACACCAGTACCCCATTCTTAAATTCTAAACCAGTACCCCATTCTTAAATTCTACACCAGTACCCCATTCTTAAATTCTACACCAGTACCCCATTCTTAAATTCTACACCAGTACCCCATTCTTAAATTCTACACCAGTACCCCATTCTTAAATTCTACACCAGTACCCCATTCTTAAATTCTACACCAGTACCCCATTCTTAAATTCTACACCAGTACCCCATTCTTAAATTCTACACCAGTACCCCATTCTTAAATTCTACACCAGTACCCCATTCTTAAATTCTAAACCAGTACCCCATTCTTAAATTCTACACCAGTACCCCATTCTTAAATTCTACACCAGTACCCCATTCTTAAATTCTACACCAGTACCCCATTCTTAAATTCTACACCAGTACCCCATTCTTAAATTCTACACCAGTACCCCATTCTTAAATTCTACACCAGTACTACTTCTTACCTTCATCTTCTGTGCCACCCCCTTTAAAGCTGTTTCCCCATACACCTGCCAAACTGCGACAGTCAACTATAGCCAACTTCCTGGCGGTGCGAGTGTCATCTAAAAAAATCAAACAACATATAGCTGTAAATAACATAAGTGGCACTGCACATAACATAAGAGTGCACCTGACATTTTTGACAATTTAAGTATTTGAACCAAATGAGATTTAAGAAACGATTTTAGAGGGGTGTGTGTGTAAGACTTTTATGGATTAAAAATATTTTTAAAATGTATAATCTTTTTTTTTTTAATTGTAAAAGGCCCCAACTGCATATGCTATGTAACACCAAACAAAGAACTACCTTGATAGTTATAAAATCAAAATGTAAAAAGTCCCAAATTAAATGACAATGTCCATCATTGATGCAGTATGGTGAAAATTGAATGATTGTCATTGATGCAGTATTGTAAACATTGGAAGGATGGTTTAAGTTGGTCCAACTCAATAGAAACATAAATCTCTGATTAAGCTCAACCAATAGGGATACAGTTAGACCTCTCAAATGGTACTATTTACACCTCACCAGGGGAGATCATTTACCTATGACGGTCATTGACTCACTAGGTACAACACAGTTTATATATAACATATTTTGAAAACAGTTTATATAGAACAGCGGTTCTCAACCTGTGGGTCGCGACCCCTTTGGGGGTCAAACGACCCTTTCCCAGGGGTCGCCTAAGACCACCGGAAAACACATATACTCTACAGTTATAAAGTATCAACAAAAGTAATTTTGTTTTAGGGGGTCGCCACAACATGAGGAACTGTATTTAAGGGTCGCGGCATTAGAAAGGTTGAGAACCACTGATATAGAACATATGTTGAAAACGTAGTGTGTATAGGACAAATGTTGAAAACACAGTTTATATAGAACAAATGTTGAAAACACAATTTATATAGAACAAATGTTGAAAACACAGTTTATATAGAACAAATGTTGAAAACACAGTTTATATAGAACAAATGTTGAAAACACAGTTTATATAGAACAAATGTTGAAAACACAGTTTATATAGAACAAATGTTGAAGACACAGTTTATATAGAACAAATGTTGAAAACACAATTTATATAGAACAAATGTTGAAAACACAGTTTATATAGAACAAATGTTGAAAACACAGTTTATATAGAACAAATGTTGAAAACACAATTTATATAGAACATTTTTTAAATAGCAGATTTTGAGATAACATGTGTTATTCCCAGTGCGACCATCTTGAAAACAATATGTACCTTCCATCTGGTGAGTCCTCATTAGTGTATGGGGCTCCTTCTATAGGGGAGGTATCTTTAGTAAATGGAAGTAACTTAAGCTAGGGGATGTAACTTTTGCTAGGGAAGGTGAACATGAGAATAAGTATTTGATTCCCTTTTTATATTTCCATCCCTTATAAACAAAAATGCTGACCAGAGTTTTTAGTCTATTTTCTACTTAAATGACTAATTCCTATAACTATAATTCTATAAATTTAGACTGCCTTCCTTTTGTGTATTATTACCCCGCCAACTTATTGTAGCCGGAAGTTATCTTTTGCATAGTGACAAGGGAGATTTTGTTAACAAAATGTTGTTGAAAGAAAAATTACGTATCCGATACAAAGATTTTTATCCTGTATATATTCTTAAGCATATATTCCAAAGAAAGAACTATTTAATACAAATATTTTCTAGTGAAATCCAAGTTTCCTTCCTTTTGTGTTCTTTTGGATTTTTTTTCTCCACCATCTTGTTGCAGCCGGAAGTTGATTATTTCACTGAAAATTGCCACATGGAACATACGCACACTGCTTGACAGGGACACTTCTAACAGACCTCAACGACGCACAGCCCTCATTGCCATGAGCTTGAGAGATACAATATAGACATCGCCGCCCTCAGTGAAACCAGACTCTCTGGCAAGGGTGAAATCACAGAAAGGCTTGCTGGCTATTCTTTCTTCTGGAGCTGTCGCGACCCCGACGCAAGGCGAGAAGCTGGTGTTGGCTTTGCTATCAAAACATCTCTTGTGAGCAAGCTCCCCAGCTCTTCAATAGGTATAAATGACCGTCTCATGACGTTGAAAATCCCCCTCTGCCATGGAAAGAAGTCTGCTACCTTAGTCAGTGCCTATGAGCCCACCATGACAAACACAGAAGAGACCAAAAACAAATTTTATGAAGACCTGAGCACTGTCATCTCTTCCACACCGACTGCTGACAAACTCATCATACTTGGAGATTTCAATACAAGTGTTGGCAGTGACTACACCTCCTGGGGGGAGTGATTGGGAAGTATGGTGTTGGAAAGTACAACAGCAACGGCCTACTGCTACTTCAGACCTGTGCTGAACATGGCCTTCTAATAACGAACACCACCTTCAGCCTGCCTACGTGCATCAGGACCTCCTGGATGCACTCCAGTTCAAAAAACTGGTACCTAATTGATTATGTCATCATCAGAAATAGGGACCGCCAGTACGTGAGGGTGACTAAGGCCATGTGTGGTGCAGAATGTTGGACGGATCACCGCCTCATCATCTCCAAGATGAAAATTCACATCCAACCTAAGAGACGACCTCCGGCCACCAAAGCTGCGAAACGCCTCAACATCAGTAAGCTGAAGGTCCCTGATGTGAGACAAACCTTTGTTGACAACCTGGATCAATGCCTTGATACAATCACAATGGACAACCAGGATGTGGAAAAAGCGTGGACCACGCTTCGTGAGACAGTCTATAACAGAGCCGCTGAGCGCCTCGGACCCTCTATGAGGAAACACAGGGATTGGTTTGACGAAAACAACACAGCAATCCAAATGCTACTTGAGCAAAAGGGTCGGGCGTACAAGGCCCTCCATGATGACCCAATGTCAACAGCAAAGACAGATGCTCTTAGGAGCATCCGCAGCAAGGTCCAGATACCTCAATCCTCATCCTCATGTCCCTTAGTCCTTGAACCGTTGGGGCGCCACAGATGACATGTGAACCATCCTCCTCCATTCCTCTCTGTCTTCAGCTCTACGCACTGCATCGCCCAGTGTTAGTCCTGTCAACTCTTTGATGTTATCCTCCCATCTTTTTCTTTGTCTTCCACTTCTTCTCCCTTCTCTTGTGGTGCCCTGCAATATTTCTTTGGCAAGCCCTTGATTCCTTGTTACGTGGCCGTACCATTGTAATTTGCGTTTTTTCACAGTCACCAGTAGGTCATCGTACTCCCTAATTGCCTGACGAACCCTTTCTTTCACTGTATCATGTAAGCTTTGGTCCCTATAGCAGATGCCAAAAATTATTCTGAAGCTTCTCATCTCCATCGCCTTTATTTTCCTTTCAAGATCGACTGTTACTGTCCAGGATTCGCAGGCATACAGGAAAATGGAGAGGACTAATGAGCGCATCAGCCTGATTTTGGTGCTGGGCGCTGTATTTTTGTCATTCCATATTTTCTTGAGCTTTTTTAGTGCTGTTGTAGTCTGCGCAATCCTGGGCATCAGTTCGGGCTTGGAGCCTTCTTCTGAGACTGTTGCTCCTAGGTATTTGAAGCGGCCGACAGTCTCTAATCTTTCCTCCCCGACCTTAATTTCAGTGGTGATGCCTGCGGTATTATTTGTCATCAGTTTTATCTTTTCGGCATTGATTAGCATGCCGTAGGACGACAAGGTCTTATCGAGACGCTTTACCAGGTCGGCTAGCTCTTCTTCGTTCCCAGCCAGCACGTCTATGTCGTCCACAAAGCGTAGGTTGGTGATTGTTCTGCCACCAATGCTGACTGTCCCTTCATGTGCTTCCAGAGCATCGGACATAATTCTCTCTAGGAAGATGTTGAATTGGGTGGGGGAGAGCAGGCAGCCTTGTCGTACTCCGACCGTGGTCTAGAATCATTCTCCGATGTTGTTGTTGAGGAAGACTTCACTGGTGGCCTTATCATAGAGGTTGCATATCATGCTGATTAGGTTTGTGTTGATGTTTTAGTGCCTCATGATGGCCCATAAAGCAGCATGTCAAACCCTGTTAAATGCTTTCTTGAAGTCAACAAAGACGTGGTATAGATTTTGTTGGTGTTGAGCATATTTCTCACATAGTATTCGGAGGTTTAGAATCTGCTCAGTAGTGCCCCATCCTTGTCTGAAGCCCGCCTGTTCTTCAGCAATGATTCTGTCGGCATATGGTTTTAGTCGGTTCAATATGATCTTCAGCATGACCTTGCTTGGATGGCTTATTAGGCTAATTGTGCGATAGTTTTGGCATAGCTGTAGGTTACCTTTTTTGGGGAGGGTGACGATGAGTGATTGGGTCCATGGTTTGGGCCATTCTCCTGTAAGCCAGATTTTGTTACAAATATTGAATCACTTATCCCACTTATCATTGCTTCTCCTCCTTGTTTCATCAACTCAGCAGGGACATTATCAACTCCTGCGGCCTTTCCTGTTTGGAGTGCCTGGACTGCTGTTTCTAGTTCTGCGCGGAGAATAGGGTAGTTATCATTGTCTGTTGCTGGAGGGACATTAAGGATCTCTGGGTCTATCTTTATACTTTCATTATAAAGCTCTGAACAGTATTCAGTCCATCGTTTGATGATATCATTTTCTTCGGTCAAACATTTACCATTTTTATCCTGTATGGCAACCTACGCCCTTGTTTTGCAGTGGTTAGTTCTTTCACCAACTGGTAAGCTTTTTTGCTATTGTTTTTCTTCAAGCAGTTTTCAATGTCGTAGCATTGCTCTTCAATCCAGTTCTTCTTTGCCCTTTTCTTAGCTTTTTTGATGGCTTGGTTAACTGTCCTATATTTAATGGCCCACCATTTTTGTTTTCTTTAACTGCCTCCATTTATCACACAGATCAAGTATGTCAGCTGTCACCCATGGTTTTCGGTTTGGGTGATGTTTACCGAGGATGTCGTGAGCGCCAGATGCAAGATTCCTGGTTGAATGCAAAAGCTGATGAAATTCAGAGTTTTGCAGACAAAAACTTCTACCGTGGCCTGATAGAAATCTATGGAGTTGCCACATCAGGCTCTTCCCCTCTCCTTAGTGCAGACGGTTCTACACTCATCACAGACAAAGAGAAAATCTTGGAAAGATGGGTGGAACACTTTGAAAGTGTGCTAAATACGCCTTCCATCATTAATGATGAGGCCATTGAAAGACTCACTCAGGTCCCAACGAACAAGTCACTAGATGCCGTCCCAACTTTTGATGAGATACAGACAGCAATCCGCCAAATGTCCAATGGCAAAGTACCTGGCCCCGATATGATTCCTGCCGAAATCTACAAACAGGGTGGACCAGGGCTGACGGATAAGCTATTGCTTCTATTCCAGATCATCTGGCAGACGGAAACTGTACCACAGGACCTCAAAGATGCCTCCATTATCCACCTGTGCAAACACAAAGGAAACCGACAGGTCTGCGACAATCACCGCGGAATTTCACTACTGTCCATCGCAGGCAAGATCTTGGCCCGAGCCCTTCTGAACCGCTTGAATGTACATCTGGAGCTGGATCTCCTACCCGAAAGTCAATGCAGTTTCCGCAAAAAACGCGGAACTATCGATTTGGTGTTTGCTGCTAGGCAGCTTCAAGAGAAATGCCAGGAGCAAAATACAGAACTATATTCTACATTTATCGACTTGAATAAGGCCTTTGACAGGGTCAAGAGAGGTGGCCTGTGGAAAATCATGAAGAAGTACGGATGCCCAGACAAGTTCACCAACATCATCTGTCAGCTGCATGATGGCCCGAGTGCAGGTCAGTCATTTCAAGCATTCCTCATCACAAAGGGTGTAAAGCAGGTTTGTGTTCTTGGTCCCACACTCTTCAGTATTATGTATTCCGCAATGCTGTCTGAAGCGTTTAAGGACTCCACCATGGGCTTGCCAATCCGGTTTCGTACTGATGGATCAGTATTTAACCTTAGGAGGCTTCAAGCTAACACCAAGGTCAAACATAAAACGATCAACGAGCTTCTGTTTACAGATGATTGTGCCCTAAATGCTCCCTCAGAAGCCGTCATGCAACACAGCGTTGATATCTTCTCTGAGGCCTGCAACAAATTTGGCCTCACAATCAACACAAAGAAGACTGAGGTGATGTATCAGCCAGCTCCCAGTAAGCCCTATGTTGAACCCAACATCATCATCAGTGGGCAGGGTCTCAACCTGGTGGATAAATCTACTTACTTGGGCAGCACCCTCTCTAGATCTGTCGTCATGGATGATGAAATGAATGCCACTCACAAAAGCTAGTGCCATATTTGGCAGGCTCCACAGCACTCGAGAAACGAAGATCAAGGTCTATAGCGCAGCAGTCCTCCCGTCACTGCTCTACGGATGTGAAATGTGGACAGTCTACCAGCGTCACGCTAAGAAAATGAATCATTTTCACACAACCTGCCTCAGGAAACTCCTCTGCATCAGGTGGCAAGACAAATTCCCCGACACCGAGGTCCTCACTAGAGCGAACCTACCTAGTATCTTCACCACTCTGATGCAGTCTCAGTTCTGTTGGATGAGACATGTAGCCCGTATGGAAGACCACCGGCTCCCAAAACAGATATTCTTCGGAGAACTCATGATAGGCAAGCGCTCCCAAGGAGGTCAAAAAAAGCGTTACAAAGACTCACTGAAAGTGGCACTAACGGCCTTCAGCATAAACCCTACTCAATGGGTGCAGACAGCCCAGGACAGAGCCAGGTGGAGAGCTTCTGTCTAGAAGGGGGCTAAATCCCATGAAGCTAATAGGATGTCCACAGCTGAGACACGCAGGCTTGCCCGAAAGAGCAACATTAGGTCACCGTCTGAAGCAACTATCCCCTGCCCGCAGTGCCAAAGATTATTCAGAGCACAGATCGGTCTAGCAAACCACCTACAAGCTCACCATAACCCAACCTCCCCCTAACCTTTGGATGACCCGATGGTCCTAGTCGACTTCAACGAACGAACAACAACATAGTTCCATCAATAGGGAGTAGAGAAAAATGAAAAAAATAAAAAAGGTAAAAAAGGAAAAAAATTAAAGATAAAAATTAAAGGGGTTTGTTTCTACTCCTTATATCAAGATATGAGAAGTGATGCCCAACTCCAGGAAGCACAGGTGAGGAGGGTGCTAGGACATCAAGATAAAACTCTGGATATTACCATCCACTTCGGGATCATTTTCAATCTCCCAGTTTACTGTGTCATTTAACATTGAAGAAAGAGAGACCTCCTCGTTACAAGAGTTTGTTTGGCAGTTACCTCCCATTCCTCTGCTCTGTATAGCTGACAAAGTTTCACCCTGCTCAAGAAGAGCCTTTCCGACTCGAGTTTGTTCCTCAGCTGCCAGATAATCCCTTTCCCTGTGGAATCAATCGATGATATCATGTTAGCTAGATCAATGCAACTTACTACTGGTGACATTTTAAGAGATATGAACAGGTAAAAATTGTACTTCTTACAGGTGACGATGTTGTGCGATAAGGAAAGGTGAAATTGTACTTGGGGGAACTCCATAAACGACGTGTGGCATCTAGGAGTAACAAGTGTCACGAATTTTGAAGATGTCTTACAAGAGTATCTAAATTTTTTTTGTATGCGTTACATCAGGGGTGCTTCGTTTATGGATGAAGTATTATTACAGTTGACTTTGTGAAAAATGAAAAGTTGAAATCTTACTTTCATATGTGTCAATGTTGTGAGATATGGAAGGTTGAAATCTTACTTGTTACAGGCCTGTACAATGTCCTCAAGGAGAGCCACATCGGCTGGGTTGTGGAAGTAGCTGAGACCAAGGAAGCTGGACAGTGGTTGGCTACTTCGGATAAGAACAACACCCGATGACTTGTCCCTGGATAAATTATATTACAACTTGTCTAATGCTTTTATATAAATTACATCATTATAAAAATACCTAATGAATTTATATGAAATAATGTGCTATCAATTTGTCAAATGGCATTGATCTTAATTACAACTGAGTTGTCTAATACATTTGAGCCCGACTTATAGTGTTATAGTACAAAATATAGTAATAGTTGGATCTGAATGTCAACAGCATCAAAATACAAATAAAGAATTGCAGACAAATACATCTGTCTTAAAATCCAGTCATGCATAAAATCCATCTGACATTCACAGACACCACGACAATGTTGAACTTGATAAAAGTTCTCACCTCCAAACAACAGATGGAAATCTTTTCATTGCCCTGAAGTCCAGGCTGGACTTGAGTTTGTCATCCTCATAGGTTGCAGGTAGAATGTGATCCTTGGGATATGTGGCACAAAACCTGATCAACAGAACCATAGTTCAATAAATCAATACTAAGTGGGATATGTGGCACTAAACCTGGCCAACAGAACCATAGTTCAATATATCAATACTAAGTGGGATATGTGACACAAAACCTGGCCAACAGAACCATAGTTCAATAAATCAATACTAAGTGGGATATGTGGCACAAAACCTGGCCAACAGAACCATAGTTCAATAAATCAATACTAAGTGGGATATGTGACACAAAACCTGGCCAACAGAACCATAGTTCAATATATCAATACTAATTGGGATATGTGGCACAAAACCTGGCCAACAGAACCATAGTTCAATATATCAATACTAATTGGGATATGTGGCACAAAACCTGGCCAACAGAACCATAGTTCAATATATCAATACTAATTGGGATATGTGGCACAAAACCTGGCCAACAGAACCATAGTTCAATATATCAATACTAATTGGGATATGTGGCACAAAACCTGGCCAACAGAACCATAGTTCAATATATCAATACTAATTGGGATATGTGGCACAAAACCTGGCCAACAGAACCATAGTTCAATATATCAATACTAATTGGGATATGTGGCACAAAACCTGGCCAACAGAACCATAGTTCAATATATCAATACTAATTGGGATATGTGGCACACACAAATTCAGTCACTCCCATAATACAAATCACTCACTCATATCTCTCATTGGCAGAACTCATTCTCCAGATTTTTTTTCTGCTGGTGTCAAATCCAAGCCGTGTAACTTCCTTGCCGAATGTGTAAGAGAACTTGTCATCACCTTGAGAGAGATGGAATCATTTTAATTTTGACACTACACACATTAGAAGAGATAAAAAATATGAAAATAATTTACCTGGTTAATAAAGTGCTGGAGATCTGAAAATATACTCAAGTAGTACTGCCTCCTGAACATCCAAAAATACACTAAAGTAGTACTGCCTCCTGAACATCCAAAAATACACTAAAGTAGTACTGCCTCCTGAACATCCAAAAATACACTAAAGTAGTACTGCCTCCTGAACATCCACAAATACACTAAAGTAGTACTGCCTCCTGAACATCCAAAAATACACTAAAGTAGTACTGCCACCTGAACATCCAAAAATACACTAAATACACTACATCCTGAACAGTAAAAAATATAATTAAGCAGTACAAGTGACAAATACCTGGTTGACAAAGAGAGATTTGCTGGACCTCTGACACAGACAACTGGCCGGTAGATTTTTCTTTCTGCTGCACAAGTCGATAGAAAGTGTATGCAAACAGTTTCTTAGCAGTGGTGGGCTGGCCAGTCCTTTCACGTAGTAGTGATGTACACTGATTGCAGTCTTCAGCAGTTGCAAACGTGCAGCTGAAAGAAAATTGTATTCACAGGCCCAAATGAATCCAATGTGAATGTACTTGATAAATCAGCTTAGAGGTATATGATAGATGGACCAGAGATATTTGATGAATAAAACAGTTAAAGAAAAGGATCAGATTATGGGATGAACATAAAATAAAATCTGCTCAATGGTCTTGTGAGTGAAAGTAAGACAAGTTGATACCTGTATGTGGCACCATCCTTACAACCCACACGCAGACGTTTGGCTGCCTCGATGACCAGCAAGTCTGACACCATCATCAGAGGAATATTGATGAAGGAGTGACGCTCACACACACAGAACCTGAAGTTGGTGATCATGGCATTACCATCAGCAGTCTGGGACACCAGCACAGGATACTCGCCTAACAGCAGGGGAAGTGGAGGGACCTAGGAATATAGAGAAAAGTCAAACACAGTAAGGGAAATGGGAGTTCCATGGATATAGAGCAAAAATCATTTACAGTAAGAGAAATGGGAGTTCCATGGATATAGGGCAAAGTCATTTACAGTAAGACAAATGGGAGTTCCATGGATATAGGGCAAAGTCATTTACAGTAAGAGAAATGGGAGTTCCATGGATATAGGGCAAAGTCATTTACAGTAAGAGAAATGGGAGTTCCATGGATATAGAGCAAAAGTCATTTACAGTAAGAGAAATGGGAGTTCCATGGATATAGGGCAAAGTCATTTACAGTAAGAGAAATGGGAGTTCCATGGATATAGGGCAAAGTCATTTACAGTAAGAGAAATGGGAGTTCCATGGATATAGAGCAAAAGTCATTTACAGTAAGAGAAATGGGAGTTCCATGGATATAGGGCAAAGTCATTTACAGTAAGAGAAATGGGAGTTCCATGGATATAGGGCAAAGTCATTTACATTAAGAGAAATGGGAGTTCCATGGATATAGGGCAAAGTCATATATAGTAGGAAAAGTGGATGAACCAAGGGAAATTGAGAAAAGTCATATACATCACGGGTTCCAAAATGTTAGGATCAGAGGACAGTCTCAAGCCAGGAGTTCCCAACTCATTAGCTGTGACTGACACAGGTGGACACATTAAGACTAAAGATGTAGCCCCAACTGACAAATAAATGACACCCTAAGCTAAAGCACTGGATGACACATTAAAATTTAACATTTGGCACAATGACACATTAAGATGAAGAACCTACTACACAATGAGCTGTAGCATCTACTGACACATTGAGCTGTAACATCTACTGACACATTGAGCTGTAGCATCTACTGACACAGCAATATGCTGACACAGACAGGCACAATAAGATGTAAAATCTTTGACAAAGCCAGACTCACTCAAATGTACCACCTACTGACACATTAAGATCCAGCAACTACTGACACAGACAGACACATCAACATAAAGCAACTATGACATAGACACATAATGATGTAGCACTTACTAACCCAAACACACATTGAGATGTAACACGTACTGTCACAGACACACATTAAGGTGTAACACCTTCAGACACATTAACATGTAGCACCTGACACAGACAGACACATTAAGACATTAAGATATAACACCTACCAACAAAGTCAGACACATTATCATATAGCCCCTACTGATGACACAGACACATTAAGATGTAGCCCTTACCAATGACATAGACAGAGACATTAAGATGTAGCTCCTACTGATGGACGCAGAAAGAAACATTAATATGTAGCCCCTGCTGATGACACAGATACACCTTAAGATCCAGCACCTACCTGGGCCAATGGATTGGATTTCTCAAACTGAGGCACCTGTTGACAGTCATTGATGTCCATTTTGCCAGATGCCTGCAACACACAATAAAAATATTGTTCACACAGCATAGTACCTGGCTAAACAAACACCATTAGTCATTGTGCCTTCTCAGAAACCAACATTCTGTGAACATGAAACTCAGAAGTTTATTTTAAAGCTAAATAGGTTTTCTCATCATCTCATTTTCTCATAAATGGCATACAGTCATTATAAATCAAGTCAAATAGGGTGACACTCCTCATGGATTGTTTATGCACACATGGAATTCATCTACGTATGTTACAATGCTGTGATTGAACTACAATCTACAGCAATAATGTGAACTTGCAATACACAATTCTAGTGTACACAATGCAGGCCTAGGTCCAGCCATTGCAGAACGTGCAGCAAGGATGGAATGACACTTCCTGTAGAACTCAGATTTCATTGTCACATGAGACATAATTTATGGTTAGAATTTTGAGTTGGCACGGCTAGTGGCTTGATGAGCCATTGTGTGTCTACAAGTGTATCGCATTGAAATTTGTTAATCTGCTGACACAGGGGAACACATATTTTATTGTTTGAGTAGGCGGAGCTACTGTGTTGGTGTGTTACTGTCTGTTAACAAGTGTCACTCAGGTTACTACTGTTAAAAAATCTTCAAACCTCTTTCTACACTTGAGATAATGACTTGTTTATTGTTTCAGACATTGCTCTGCAAGTTATCATTGGGAGAGGAAATTCAGTACACAGCTTAGTCTGGCAATTGGGTTTATACTATCAAACTCTGGCGGGCCCTTAAAATTACTGACTGCAAAATATAAAAGGTGAGAATATTTCATGTATTTGTAGTTCCAAATTTGACAGCTTTTTCTTATCAAGGGACAGGAAGGCAACTTTATTAAATCTAATTTTCAATTATTAATCTAGTTACATCCCTTGAAGTTGCCAAGAAATGAAAATGTGATGTAGTTGTATTTCAGAGTTCAGTTGTTGTTAAATTTCTTGTGAAACTTTTCAAGTGCCATTTGTCAAGTGTTTGAAACAAGTGGAGCAAAAGACAGACACATCACTGACATCACATGACAGTAAAGTAAAAGCTAACTATCAAATCATATTGCATGTATGTTGTACAGCACATTTTTTTCTCCAAAAATATAAATGAATTTTAAAATCTAGGGGGGGGGATGAAATAAGAAGAATTCAAGCTGAGTGCCTCCTACAACAATAATGACTTATCTTACTGCACTGGTATAACAATAATGACTTATCTTACTGCACTGGTGTAACAATAATGACTTATCTTACTGCACTGGTATAACAATAATGACTTATCTTACTGCACTGGTGTAACAATAATGACTTATCTTACTGCACTGGTGTAACAATAATAACTTATCTTACTGCACTGGTGTAACAATAATGACTTATCTTACTGCACTGGTGTAACAATAATGACTTATCTTACTGCACTGGTGTAACAATAATGACTTATCTTACTGCACTGGTATAACAATGACTTATCTTAATGCACTGGTATAACAATAATGACTTATCTTACTGCACTTGTATAATAATGACTTATCTTACTGCACTGGTATAACAATAATGACTTATCTTAATGCACTGGTATAACAATAATGACTTATCTTACTGCACTGGTATACAATAATGACTTATCTTACTGCACAAGGAGCAAAACTGAATTCACATGTAACAAAAAAAGATAAATATTTCATCATGTAATACTAGTGATGTAATCTCTTACTTTTTTGTCTATGCGCATAAAACAATTGAGTTGTCTGACACACATAACACTAAGAATGTGATGGACATCAGATACACTTGGGCTAAGTTTGTCTCACTGTTCAATTAGTACCAATTAATCGATAAATATTGATTTTAAAAAACATACCGACGAAACCTGGTCAAAAGCATGGGCCATTAGAAGCTGGTTACTGATTTAAAGACACAATCAGCCAGCGGGTCTTTTCTTTCCCTCATCACAATTCCCATACACATGCATGTAATACACCCGTGTGACAGCAGAATATCTCTAGTCTAGTAGAGCCGTCTCAGAAGTGACAACAGTCAACAGAGAGCACATCGCACAGCTACACACTACACAGCGCCACGGTGTGCTATAAATATAAACTTGGGATTCTCTTACAATTCTCACTACAGACTGACCATATTCTGACAGTCTACATGCTGTCCACATTCTAGCTCACGGTACATGATGGCTGTGTAACAGCTGAGTGAAAGAAATGGAATGTCTAACCAGACTTCACTTACAGCAATGTTTTATAACAGTTGTAGCTGACTAAATAGACAGACGAGGTCCATAAAATCTTCAGTTCAGAAAATGCCACAAGAAAATATTGTTATGAACATTGAACACCAGGGGTATATAGTCGTGACCTTGCACCCCCTCCCCCCCCCCACCTCCCCAGGTCGCCCCTCCACACACGCCATTAAACGCTCGTAGAGATTATCTTTGAAAGATTTTGACTTCATAGTCCCCGTGGGGCGGGGTGATGCATATCATGTGTGTCTGTGTTGGTCACATTGTCTTGTAGTGGTTGACATGTGTGTCTGTGGTGGTCACATTGTCTTGTAGTGGTTGACATGTGTGTCTGTGTTGGTCACATTGTCTTGTAGTGGTTGACATGGGTGTCTGTGGTGGTCACATTGTGTTGTAGTGGTTGACATGTGTGTCTGTGTTGGTCACATTGTCTTGTAGTGGTTGACATGTGTGTCTGTGGTGGTCACATTGTCTTGTAGTGGTTGACATGTGTGTCTGTGTTGGTCACATTGTCTTGTAGTGGTTGACATGTGTGTCTGTGGTGGTCACATTGTGTTGTAGTGGTTGACATTGTCTTGTAGTGGTTGGCATGTGTGTTTGTGGTGGTCACATTGTGTCGTAGTGGTTGACATGTGTGTCTGTGTTGGTCACATTGTCTTGTAGTGGTTGACATGTGTGTCTGTGGTGGTCACATTGTGTTGTAGTGGTTGACGTGTGTGTCTGTGGTGGTCACATTGTCTTGTAGTGGTTGACATGGGTGTCTGTGTTGGTCACATTGTGTTTTAGTGGTTGACATGCGTGTCTATGTTGGTCACATTGTGTTGTAGTGGTTGACATGTGTGTCTGTGTTGGTCACATTGTGTTGTAATGATTGACATGTGTGTCTGTGTTGGTCACATTGTGTTGTAGTGGTTGACATGTGTGTCTGTGGTGGTCACATTGTACTTTAGTTGTAGTGGTTGAAATGTGTGTCTATGTTGGTCACATTGTGTTGTAGTTGTAGTGGTTGGGATGTGTGTCTATGTTGGTCACATTGTGTTGTAGTTGTAGTGGTTGGGATGTGTGTCTATGTTGGTCACATTGTGTTGTAGTTGTAGCGGTTGAAATATATGTCTATGTTGGCCACACTGGTTTGGTGATGGAAATGTGTCTGTGTTGGTCACAATGTGGTGTAGTGGTATTCTCTGAGGATTTCCCTCCGACAGCGAGTCTGCCACGCCAGCTTATTCTCTGAGTTTTTTTTCCGACAGTAAGTCTGCCACGCCAGCTTATTTATTTAGGATTTTGTTCCGACAGTGTGTCTGCCACGTCAGCTTTTTCTCTGAGGATTTTGTTCCGACAGTAAGTCTGCCACGCCAGCTTATTTATTTAGGATTTTGTTCCGACAGTCAGTCTGCCACGCCAGCTTATTTATTTAGGATTTTGTTCCGACAGTGAGTCTGCTACGTCAGCTTATTCACTGAGGACTTCACCCCGATAATGAGTCTACCACGACAGCTTATTTTTTGGAGGATTTTGTTCCGAAAGTGAGTCTGCCACGTCAGCTTATTTGTGCGGTCCGTGGCAAGTGTCCCCCAAGAATCAAGTTCAATGTCGATGGATTTAAGTGAAGCGGTTTTCTGCCCACTAACTGAGCGTTTCATTTCCCATTGGAGAGTTCACCGAACAATGAACATTCTAGCGACATGCTCTGTCCATCTGGCTTGTCCTTTTTGTAAGAGCGTGTGAATGCTGATACCAGAGGCGTAGCGAAAGTGGGGGGGGGGCAGTACCCAGGCGCCAGCTAGTGAGGGGCGCCAAATTGTGCTTTGATATTATTTTATTGATTAAAATAATGGGTTTGAGAGTTAAAACAAGAAAATAAGGCGCTTTAAAATGAATCTTGTCCCCGGGCGCCAAACACTCTTAGCTACGCCTCTGGCTGACACAAATGTATCAGTGACTCTGTCCTGCCATCTTAGGTGGATATGGTTTAGCTGTCTAGCGTGTCTGCTGTACACTGTCCACGTCTCGCTAGCACATAGGAGTGATGTTAATACGATTGCCCTTATACATTCAGCTTAATGACAAGACCGAGACTCCTTCACTCCCACACACTCCTGCGGAGCACGCCAAATGCAACATCTGTTTTGGAAATTCGTTTATTGCTCTCGGCATCTATAGTTGCTGGCCTAGAAATGGCGCCGCTCAAATATGTGAATGTTTCTACTGCTTGGAGAGTATGTCCCTTTACTGATATTTTAGGTGCTTTGAAAGCTTTCACTGGACCTGGCTGGTGCAAGATTGGGAGGAAAGGGGGGGGGGGGGGGGGGGGGGGGGGGGGGGGGGGGGGGGGGGGGTTCGTACTGATGGCGAGGTCGTAGTTGTCGCAGGCCTTAGCAAAGCGATCAAGTATTTGCTGCAATTTCAGTCCCGAGCTTGCATTTAGAGCTTAGGGCACAGTCATCAGCAAAGAAGAGTTCTCCAAAAACCGTTTCTTTACCTGCCCAAATGAGCTGACATTGTAATACACAGGAAAGAAGGGGGGGGGGGACGGGACTAACCAAATAATGTGTGGAAACCATTATTGGCTCCAGAATCTATTTTATTGATTTTAAAGAATATATACCTTATATTTGAACGTTGTCTAAACATCTTCAATTATAAATTATAGGTACTCTTATGAGGCGGGAGGGGGTGTCAATACATCTTTATATACATCGTATGTGTATATATATATATATATATATATTCTGTATAAAGCAATAAACAGTAAGCCAAATGTATCCATATCTCTGAAAATAGAAGTTGACTAGAGGCTTAGCTGATGACACATTCACTGGGTCACCAGGGCTGAAGGGCTTTTGTTTCGGTGTGTAGTGTATGCACAATAGCACACAACATAAACTACAGAATAGCAGCTGTCACTGTCACAACATATAGCATCGGCATCATGAACGTATGCAAACATATGCATTAGTCACAAAGTCAAGTGTAGTGGTTGTGTACATGTTAGATAGTTGTTCAATGGTGGTGCACATGTTATATAGTCGTAAAATGGTTGTGCACATGTTATAAGCTGTAAAATTGTTGTATACATGTTATACAGTTGTACAATGGTTGTGTACATGTTATAAGCTGTGCAATGATTGTGTACATGTTATAAGTTGTGAACACACAACATAACTTAGTGTACAGCTTATGGGAACCATTGACTTATTGTACCGCCCCATAATCCCAGCATGTATTACAACAACGTGACATGTTGACCTTATCATTAGTTGTACCATGGTGCTCTGTGGCGTATTGCACAGCGGACACCGGGAAGTGGAGAGTTTCTGGACCGAATGACTCATTGAAAGGAAAGGTCTGTCATTGAGGGGAGAGAAGCCGTAGACATTGAAAGGAAAGGTCTGTCATTGAGGGGAGAGAAGCCGTAGACATTGGAAGGAAAGGTCTGTCATTGAGGGGTGAGAAGCCGTAGACATTGGAAGGAAAGGTCTGTCATTGAGGGGAGAGAAGCCGTAGACATTGGAAGGAAATAAATGGATCCATTTCAAGGTCAGTGGGGAGGGGAATTTCTTAAAAAGACATATTGAGCTAAGACAGAGTGAAGACAAATTGAGCTAAGACCGAGTGAAGACACATAAGACATGGAGTGGAGGCGCACATTTGGGTAAGACGGGGAATGTTAACAGACTTGGGTAAGACGGGGAATGTTAACAGATTTGGGTAAGACGGGGAATGTTAACACATTTGGGTAAGACGGGGAATGTTAACACATGTCGTGGTAAGACAGTGAATGTAGACACATGTGGCAATACAGTGAATTTAGACTCATGTCGTGGTAAGACAGTGAATGTAGACACATGTGTCGTTCTAAGACAGTGAATGTAGACACATGTCGTGGTAAGACAGTGAATGTAGACACATGTCGTGGTAAGACGGTGAATGTAGACACATGTCGTGGTAAGGCAGTGAATGTAGACACATGTGGTAAGACAGTGAATGTAGACACATGTCGTGGTAAGACAGTGAATGTAGACACATGTGGTAAGACAGTGAATGTAGACACATGTCGTGGTAAGACAGTGAATGTAGACACATGTCGTGGTAAGACAGTGAATGTAGACACATGTGGTAAGACAGTGAATGTAGACACATGTCGTGGTAAGACAGTGAATGTAGACACATGTGGTAATACAGTGAATTTAGACACATGTGGTAAGACAGTGAATGTAGACACATGTGTCGTTCTAAGACAGTGAATGTAGACACATGTCGTGGTAAGACAGTGAATGTAGACACATGTCGTGGTAAGACGGTGAATGTAGACACATGTGGTGGTAAGACAGTGAATTTAGACACATGTCGTGGTAAGACAGTGAATGTAGACACATGTCGTGGTAAGACAGGAATTTTTATTTTTTTTATCATGCAGCCACCCCCTCAGTCTCAGTTGTGTATTCCATTCTGTATACGGTTATCGAATCACTGAGCGGCCAGGCAAAGTAAGGTTTGAATGACAGTGATAGGCCATTCAGTTGCCTATAGAGATATGCTGACTCGCTCAATTCTCTGGTCTACTTATGGACTATCCAACAGTTGTTATGGTGGGTGTCAACCAAAGACAGCACGACATGCTAAGACTACTTTGATGGCTTGCAGAATACGACCGGGCTCAGGGTTGTTTACTTGATTGATAAGTCCCTAATTGTAGACATAAAAAGACCTGCACACTCGAGTTGAGCGTTTAAACATGCTACTGTACAGTGTGTACCAAAAGCGTACAAAAGGGTTGCCCTTGAGCACCATTGATTCAACGTAAGAATCTTGATCAATACTAAACTGTCACGGCTGGGGGGTGGGGGGGGGGGTATGGAGGTGTTGGCCAGACCCACTAAGTCTATAGAAAGGTTGCTGTTTTTAACAAACACATTTCAACGAATTTCGCAGTGCTTAACCCAGAGGTTGGGTGGAGCACAATAATCGATCTATATTAATGGCTGGGTGGAGCATGCTAAGAGATCTATATTAATGGATAGGTGGAGTGGGATACGGAGATCTATAGTGATGGATTGGTGGAGCAAGGTTACAGAAATCAAAAGGGATGGAATGGCGGAGCAAGGTTATAGAAATATGTATTGAAAGATTGGAGGAGCAAGTTTACAGAAATTTAAAGTGATGGCCTGGTGGAGATCTACAATTATGGAGCGAGATACAGAGTTCTATATTGATGTCTTTGTGGGACAGGATAAAAGAGCTCTATGTTGATGGAATGGTGGAGCAGGATACATAGATCTAGAGAAGTGGCTTACAATTTGTATTGCTAAAATGATGGATTATCGAAAAGAACGCACAAGAGAGAAGGCCAGACAAAACATGGGAATACTGGACGTTTCGTGAAGGGGCATGGGGAGACTGGACATTTGAGGAAAGGGAAGGGGAGAAATCTGGACATTTGAGGAAAGGGAAGGGGAGAAATCTGGACATTTGAGGAAAGGGAAGGGGAGAAACTGGACATTTGAGGAAAGGGAAGGGGAGAAACTGGACATTTGAGGAAAGGGAAGGGGAGAAATCTGGACATTTGAGGAAAGGGAAGGGGAGAAACTGGACATTTGAGGAAAGGGAAGGGGAGAAATCTGGACATTTGAGGAAAGGGAAGGGGAGAAACTGGACATTTGAGGGAAGTTGAAGAGAAGGGGAGATTTGATAGAACCTAGTGGAGAAACTGGAAGTCATATATAACTTAAGTGTGTAAACGAATAGAGCAAAGTTCATTAGCCAGCAGAAGCAGAGAAAGAAAAAGATGACAAGGGCAATGACGAAGACCCTACAACTCTCTTCAACGAATGACTTCTGGCACATAGCACAACACGATACGGACAAAATCAAAGAAGTGCCAAGCTCAAAGAAGAGAGTGTTTTAAACCAAGGGAGTTCAGTCTTACTGACTGGCTAATACGCTGATGGATCCATTGGATGACAGTTCCAATATGGACACAGGCAACTATGGCCTAGACCTCTTCCCAAAACATTTTTTTGTTAAAGTGTCAAAAGATACAATGTGTAAAAATTGCTCCTTGCCTTGCTCAAAAAAGTATGCCGCCACATGGCCTAACCAAACTAAACACAGCCACCAACCCTACCCCCTAGATAGCCCATAGCTGCGTACTCAAAGGTGGATGTGTCTGACAGTGCAGACCACAATGGAACAAACGTGCAATGACACCTTGATCAGCGGGGCACATTGCCTTGAGAGCTCAGGTGATGAACAACGGGCAAATGACACCTTGATCAGAGGTGCACCTTGCCTTGAGAGCTCAGGTGATGAACAACGGGCAAATGACACCTTGATCAGAGGTGCACCTTGCCTTGAGAGCTCAGGTGAGAGCTCAGGTGATGAACAACGGGCAAATGAAAACTTAATCAGCAGGGCACATTGCCTTGAGAGCTCAGGTGATGAACAACGGGCAAATGAAAACTTAATCAGCAGGGCACATTGCCTTGAGAGCTTAGGTGATGAACAACGGGCAAATGACACCTTGATCAGAGGTGCACATTGCCTTGAGAGCTCAGGTGATGAACAACGGGCAAATGAAAACTTAATCAGCAGGGCACATTGCCTTGAGAGCTCAGGTGATGAACAACGGGCAAATGAAAACTTAATCAGCAGGGCACATTGCCTTGAGAGCTCAGGTGATGAACAACGGGCAAATGACACCTTGATCAGCGGGGCACATTGCCTTGAGAGCTCAGGGGATGAACAACGGGCAAATGACAACTTAATCAGCAGGGCACATTGCCTTGAGAGCTCAGGTGATGAACAACGGGCAAATGACAACTTAATCAGCAGGGCACATTGCCTTGAGAGCTCAGGTGATGAACAACGGGCAAATGACACCTTGATCAGCGGGGCACATTGCCTTGAGAGCTCAGGGGATGAATAACGGGCAAATGACTTGTCAGGGGCGTAGCTCGGTGGACACCGAAATAGAGGTACGCATATAGGGTTGATATGAAAACTGAACAAGTGCACACAGCTTGACAAAGTCTGTCATGATAGGTGCGCCCCAAGTGCACACAGCTTGACAAAGTCTGTCATGATAGGTGCGCCCCTATTGCACACAGCTTGACAAAGCCTGTCATGATAGGTGCGCCCCTATTGCACACAGCTTGACAAAGTCTGTTATGATAGGTGCACCCCTATTGCACACAGCTTGACAAAGTCTGTCATGATAGGTGCACCCCTATTGCACACAGCTTGACAAAGTCTGTCATGATAGGTGCACCCCTATTGCACACAGCTTGACAAAGTCTGTCATGATAGGTGCGCCCCTAGTGCACACAGCTTGACAAAGTCTATCATGATAGATGCGCCCCAAGTGCACACAGCTTGACAAAGTCTGTCATGATAGGTGCGCCCCAAGTGCACACAGCTTGACAAAGTCTGTCATGATAGGTGCGCCCCTATTGCACACAGCTTGACAAAGTCTGTCATGATAGGTGCGCCCCTATTGCACACAGCTTGACAAAGTCTGTCATGATAGGTGCGCCCCTATTGCACACAGCTTGACAAAGTCTATCATGATATATGCGCCCCAAGTGCACACAGCTTGACAAAGTCTGTCATGATAGGTGCGCCCCAAGTGCACACAGCTTGACAAAGTCTGTCATGATAGGTGCGCCCCAAGTGCACACAGCTTGACAAAGTCTATCATGATAGGTGCGCCCCAAGTGCACACAGCTCTGTCAGTACCTGGATCATTACACTACTACAAGTACCTGCATCATTACACTACTACAAGTACCTGTATCATTACAAATACTTTAATCTTTAATCAATAATCTTTCAGAAAGCTTATTTATCAAGGCGGAGTGGAGAGAGAGAGACACCAATCAATCATTCATAAATAAAAAAAACTCATTTGATAATTTATTGCAATATTAGTCATCAACAATGAGTACACAGACACATTGCACAGACAACTATCTCCTCAATTTACTGGATCATTCCCAAATTTAGCCCTCTAAAAATGTTGACTTTGTCATCAATGACTCGGTCCCACTATAAAAATGGTATGCCCCCCCCCCACACACACACACACAACTGGTCCTCTAAAATTGTATCTTTTGTCACCAACAACTCATAACTTTAAAGACCTGGCCAAATCTGGGTCAGGACAAATGATACATGAAGTCAGTTATTGCTGACATAATGAGAAATTCAAACTTGGAGTCTTATACCTGTTTGGATACTGTCAGCTAAATTTGTATCTCATTTGTCTGTGAAATGTTTAATTTGCTGTTCTAAATTAATTGTTTCAACAGCAATGGGCCGCAGGTCATTTTAATAGGTACAATCTTGATAACAAAGATAGATCAAAGATAACATGTTAAATTTTACTGGTGCACTTGATCAAAGACAACTTGGTAAGTTTCACTAGGTACACTCTGCTAAAATTGAATATTAATAAAGAGCATACCAGGCTAGCAATGTTACAATGTCATGTCAACAGATGTGACCTAAGAATAGATTTTCTAGGAATGTTGCATTCAGTTTTACAGATATTCCAGCAAAAACCTTAATGTTAGCATTAACAAAAAAATTTAGAGCATATAAAACTGAAGATAATAATAAAATAAGATACCTAAGTTACTCATATTATTGAAATCATGTTACCATTATATTTTTCCTTTAAATCAATAGCAAAACATTGACTTTCGTTCATTTTTAACTTGACCAATAAATGAGCTATTTAAATGTTTAAGAATTTGACTTCTTCCAATGTGTTAAAAGAAAGACCATAATTCAAGTGAGCAGGCACATCATCTAACAAGAAGTGAGTACAAGAGGGATCAAGTAGCCAGATAAAGAAATAGCTAGAGTCAAGTGGTCTTAAGATACTTTTAATGGTCTTACAAGAAATTTAGTAGAACACTGTGTAACATTCTCTTCAAACTGTAAAGCTAGGTATGCAGTGGCACAATGCCTCCATTGGAGATAAAGCATGGAGTAAATATGACTTTAATAAGTGTTACTACAACAGGGGAGATGATTTGAGGATTCTTTTTGTAATGCTCAGAAGTTTGGGATGGAAGGAATTCTACATCTTAAATATTTCATTTAATTTTTTTTTGAAATTGAACTATAATTTTTGTGTTTATAACATATATAGTTTACAACAGCAATTTTCTATATTTATAAAGTAGTGCAAAGAAACTTGACAAATTTCATAGCATTGTAACAATAGTTAATAACATTGTATTTAGTTGATAACTCTGATTATAGTCTTATTTAGACCATAGGCACTGTTTAGCGTACACTAGATTACATAACTTTGTTCAACATTAAATCATCATCACTGACATCCAGTGGCCATTTGGGCATGTGCCCTTCAATATGGTAAAGTATTTACAAATCTCCGTGGCTGTTCTTTGTTTATATGTGGTTTGTTTAGCTTCAGATAGAGTAACTCAACACTTTCCCTTTCTTCTTTTAGTTACCAGAAATAAAGTAATTCTATTCTAATGTCTGGTTTTCATTTATGCTAATGTCATTTGCACCATTACAAAAACCAATGCAGTTATAAATACAGATATAATACTGTGTTCCTTCATAACAGTATTCCAAAAAAAAAATTGCTTTTATTGTTTATTGAATAATTTTGTTGCATGACATGCTTTACACATTTGTCACTGACAACTACATAAATTTAATCCATGGCTTGTAAGATCTAATTTAACATAGCAATTTTTAAATGGAAATTAAATATTGTAAAATAAAAAATTATTGAACATCATCATCCACTTCAGTTGCAAGTGAAACTTTTGGATTTTGGAATAGGACAACTGACAGTCAAATGAGAATTAGTTTTAGATTAAGATCATTTTAATTTCCGGACAAGTCTTTTGTTCAGATTTATTTAGAGTTTGCATTAGTCTGTATAGAATTCTAATTGAGGGCTGATCATTGGAAGCATAGCCCTACTAGTAAATGTGAGGAGGATAACTGTGTGCTCTGCACACACCTAGTTTGTAAAATGACACCTTACTGCAAAGAGATCTGCAAGCTAAGCACTGCTAACTGGATGTACAATCTTTGGCCTGTGAATCAATAAAAGCCTTGACTGGTTTTATATATCTCCTACCCACTGTTTTTCTCTTGTTTAATTAGCTTTTTCTTAAAGCCTAGTGTAATCAATGGAGGATCTGGGTGTGATGAATCAGTGTTTGTGGTGTGCCTGGTGGTGTGCATGGAGGGGGATTACCTGTGATTTTATTAATCATAATTTGATTAATTTTTGTGTCATTGATGTATGAATTCAAATTATTCACCTGGGCCTGCTGAACATTCTGTGAAATGGCTCAGTCAGATAAAGCAAACAGAATTTATGACTGTACATACTGATTTAACAGGAAAATAAAATCTTCAAAGGGTCCTATACTCATGATAAAGCAAATTTAATGACCTGAATCAAGAGAATTCTTACATTTAATAAAAATAATTATCTGAACCTAATGTGTCTCTGAGGTTAGCATGATTTGTTTCTCAGGAAAGTGTGTAATTGACTGAAAACATGTTGTCTTCAAGGACCCAACAATTTAATACAAATTGAAAAGACTGGGTCAATAATGTTGACTGTAATATAACAACATTTTTTGCCTTGAAGGACAAAGGCTGTCTTCGGCTGGGTGGTCTGTTAAACTCTTCAAAAAATATTCATTTAGGCCCTACTAATATTCAAATAAAATAATATCATGTTTAAAAATCACATTTAAATACTGATGGTTATGTCATACAGCTAAATAGGTTGATTTATTGATTTAACTTAAATCAGGTTGAATTAACTTAAAGTAAATAGGAGAATTTTTTTTAGCTACAAATTAATTTTAATGCTCTTTTTTTCTAAATTGATAATATAAAAAAATTACCTTCCCAGAAAACAATCCAATAATAGAGCTGGACATTTCTTGTAGAGAGTTCAACATTTTGAGTAAAATTAGTTCATGTCTTTTTTTATTTAATTGATTTTAAACACATACTATTCTTTCATAGGTTTGAATGCAAACAGGTGTTAAAAATTACAGCATTTAATTTCAAAAGTGCTTTATACAATAAAGGTTGTTGATTTTTTTATTGATATTAATAGAAATTATATATTTTATAATAAAAAATTTGTAGCTCAAAAATCATAACTTTACACAACCAAAATCATAAATATCCAATTGAAATATTCCTGGAACTTTCATTGTAACTTTTATCAAAGCTTTGCTGACGTCTATTTTTTAAGATCATCATAAAATGTAAAAGAGGTGATCTCCTTAGTTTGACGTTATTTAATAAAGCAAATCATCTATTACATTTAACTGTGTCCATAGAGAAATGAACATTAAAAATAGTCTTGAACTCTTTAAATGACTGAAAAGCAGATCATAAAAAGTCAAGATAGGAAAAACCCTAAATGATTTTACTGAGCCTAAGGTCTCAACTCTTGACATGATTTAAAAAACCAAATTCCCCATCAATACTGAAACCAATAAGATTATAAAGCCTCAAAGATTCTTGTAGTTAAACAATTTTATTTAAAGAGTTATATTTTAAATCAGGAGAAAAGTTAAAGAAGAAGCTAGTGTAACTGTAGAGCAGGGGTCTCAAACTCAAATTAGTGGGGGGGGGGGGGCTGCAGGAGGTAGAGTCTGAGGGAAACTGGGTCGGATTAAATAATCCATTAAAAAAAGTGATTACAAATTCAAGTACAGCTGTTACAATCTGCTCAACCTTTATTAATAACAAATAAAACTTTTGGGGTCTCAAACGCAAATTAGGGGGGGGGGGGGGGGCTGCAGGAGGTAGAGTCTGAGTGAAACTGGGTCGGATTAAATAATCCATTAAAAAAAGTGATTACAAATTCAAGTACAGCTGTTACAATCTGCTCAACCTTTATTAATAACAAATAAAACTTTAAGTCTTCTCAAGAACTAGGCTTCACTTACTTTCTTCTTCTACTTGTTGCCAGAAGCCTTGGCAGTGCTTCTTCCTACACAACTGAGCAACATTTGGCTTGAGTGAGGAACCAACTGAGACCCTCAGTATAGCTTGTAGATGCTCATCAGTAAGTTTCGCCCTGAACTTTGACTTGTTTAAGTTCATAGTGGAAAAAGAGCTTTTCACACAGATAGTTACTCCCAAAAAGGCACATGATCTGCTTGAACATCCTAGATATTTCAGGGAAGGTGGAAGACAATGCTCTCATAAAATGACCAAGCTTGTCTGTTTTTCTATTCACCTCCCTGAACTTAGCCTTGAGTGAAGGCCCTGACATTGTCATAGGCAACACTGACAAGCTGCCCCTGGCCTTTTAACTTCTTGTTGAGTACATTCAGCTCCTGTGTAATGTCAACAAGAAAAGCTAAGTCCTTAAGCCATTTGGGATCATTTAGTACAGGAACAACCACCTCATCCTTCTCCATGAAGGCTTTGATTTCTGCTCTCAACTCCAAAATATTTTCACGATGTCTCCCCTACTAAGTCAACGTACCTCGGTGAAGTAGGTCAGATTCTCATACGCTGACTCTATTTCTTCTAAAAAGACTGGGAACTGCAAGTGCTTCAAGCGTGCCCTGGATCTGATGTGGTTGGTTGATGCATTTCACAACTTCAGAATTCACATTGTCAAGCTTCAGGCATTTGCTGCAAAGGGCCTGCTGATGGATAATGCGGTGTAGTGCAATGGCCTCTTCCACACCCTCCTCTTCCAGTTTTCTTTGAAATGTGCCACGAGTCCATTTATTTACCCTGTCATTGATGGCACTCCATCGGTTGTTATTCCTGCCGCTGTGGTCTGGCCATGCTTTGGAATCACTTTGAGCAACTCTTCCATCACTTCAAAATTATCATCAACACCACCGACATGCCAGCTACACAGTGTCCGTAACATCTAAGCTCTCATCAAGAGTGACTGAGTATGCATGAAATGTTTACCTTTCTCGCACAGTTAATCATAAATGTCACCTGACAGCTCAGAAATGCGCTCTGCCACTGTGTTGGCTGAAAGGCTGATGTTGCTAAATTGAACCTTATTTTCCGGACAGACTAAACTTGCAATTTTTGATGAACTCTCTTTCTTTGAATGACTTTCCTGCCATAGCAATCATCTCACTCACCACGTAACCAACTTCAACTGCTGCATCACTTTCTTTGTATGTTTTCTTGAAAAAAATCATGCTGCCTCAGTAGACATGTTTTAAGTTTAGCAACCCGGCCTCTCTCTCATCTCCCTGGTATTTTGCATACTCTTCAGCATGTCTGGTTAAATAATGACGTCTGATGTTGTACTCCTTGTGCACCGCAACTTTCTCGGTGCATATAAGGCACGTCGGAATGCCCCTGTGCTCAACAAAGCAATAGTCTGTCTCCCACTTCTCCTAAAATTGTCTGCGCTCATCGCCAACTTTCTCTTCACAGCAGGTTTTGAGACAGACATGACTGGGGTCGGGGGACACAAATATGTATTTGCACTGTTTGATAAAATATATTTTCCCTCCTCTCTGTAACACTCCCAAATCACGTTTCACGAGACCAAGCTGTCAGGCTGGGAACTTCCGTCACATGTCACTGGTACAAACTAGCTGCAATTTTAATAGTGATTTTTTATACTGTGTCAGATTGCTATGATTTGCAGTTATGGTTGTGTATTACCGACTGACTTATAAAACTTTTGATATATGTATATACAATATTCGAAGAGTGTTTTCTGAAAACTGCACTTTGGCCAAGTTTATCTCATAAAATGCTAATAAAACCTTTTTTTCCGATTTTAAAAAGGTATTTTCCATTATAATCAACTTCAAAACCTGTAGGTATTTATATAAAAATAATAAAAATCAGACTTATATGAGATTCGACTGAAATCGTCGCGGAGGTTCACATTATAGATATGAGAATGTAGACAATGTGCAGTCCACATTAATACTAAACTTTGCTGTCAGGTAGCGGGCCGCAAAATATGGTCTTGTGGGCTGCAAATGGCCCACGGGCCGCAAAATGAGACCCTTGCTGTAAAGGATGTAATGGCTATACAAGACATTTCTAATAAAAGTTGTCTTCATTCATTTTGGTCTGTGTGGTGTGTGATTAAATTATTTAATTTTAAAAAATCCTTGTTGAAACAGAGAAGTGTTAATGAATTAAAATGTCATGATTCAAGAGTTATTTGATTTCTCCAAAATCATGTTACACATTTGCCAAAACCAATCTGAACCAAAGGACTCTCTATAAAATAACATTAAAAATATTGTTTAAGAACCTCCATTATTGTGTCCCAAACTTGACTTTCAAACTTGGGACCCCAAAAAGTGATTTGCTTTAAATAGTTTATATAAAAGACAATCTTTATTAATGACATATATATTTTTTTGGCAATCCCCATGGCCAGGCCATGGGTCATCGATTTGATGATTATCCTTTCAGGTAGTTAAAGTTTGAAACCAATGGTTGAGAGTTTGTAGTAATAACTAGTCACGTTGGACCTACAATATATTAGAGAATATCATGCAAAACATTTGTAGCAAAATTTTTTTACTTTATGTATACCCATATAAACGTGTAAGCAATTTTCATTAAACAATATAATATACTTATGTCTAGACAACCAAATTGACTTCAAACCACCTGCATTAGAAAACAGAGAGAGCATACTATTTGCACATAAAGAAAGTAATGTAAGTAGTACTCCCTAGAGGGACATTACCATAATAAATTATGTCAATAATTTTAAGGCAAATTTTGACCCCCTTCCTCCCCTTTGTCCACAACTGTCAAACTTTCAAGCCTATATTAATAATTAAGTTAAGATTAAGGGACCACGATCAATGTATTGATCATTCTGGCTCCTATGTATGTAGATCAGGCATGCACAACATGCTGCCTGCCAGCACCCACTTGGCGGTCCGCGAAGTAACAAAATATTCCTTATTATTATCTTCTTAATTGCTTTCGCCTCTGTTCTATCAAGTTTTTCATAAAGTATTAAGGCCCGCAAAAGGTTTTCATAAAGTATTACGGCCTGCCTTACATTTTGATTTGTGCAGGCCTGTGATGTAGAGGGATTTGCACTTTGAAGTAGTGAATAGTCTCTACTGTACAGTATTACATTTACAGCACAGTACAATGTACAACCTAATCCTTCTAGTCTAGTCTTGAAAACAGTATCATCAATGGTTGTTAGTTAAGTTAGTCACCTAAGATAAGTAGACTAAAAAAGTGAGCTAAGTCTAAGTGGTAACGGCTAAGTTAGTATATTAGTATTAGTAGTGACTGTAGTGATACTTAAAGTTAAAGTTTAGCCCCTCCTCACATTTTTGTATAATTTATTCCCCAAATATTGTTAGTTTTAAACTTTATACACCAACACTACAATACCTGTTAATTTGATGATAAAGAATGTTGTTGATTTTTTTCTTATAAATCAATCCATCAGTGGACGCTTGATTAATCCTAATTAAAAAAATGAAATTCACTCTCCAATAGTTGAGCTCTGTTGTTTTCTTTCCGGTTACATCCAAAATGGCGACTGAGTATGTCAACATGACATGACGTCATTGATGGGGGCGGGTCAAGATAGGTCAAGGCCTTCTTTGTTTTGATTTATTATAATAGGCACTTAATTGTCTTTAACATAATAAACACATTAGAAAAAACTAGTCTACACAACAACAGATTTATTTCCCATATTGTAATATAGCTTTTCCATAGAAAAAATACGATAATTTCCTATATCGAGTATTTGTTGTTTTTTTTAATTTAATTTATGTGAAGATGTACTACTTACTTCCCTTAAAAGGTAAGGGAAATAATTATATTGAAAATTGTTTTTCAATTACGAGATTAACCGCAAATTTAAAATATACTTATATTTATATATTCTGGCTTATTTCATATCACCTGTATATTTAATGAAACCAAAATAGGTTTGCTTCATTGTGACTGCTTATCTAGTTTTATTTTATTGTGTCAGAATTAAAAAACGTATTTTAAGGCTGCTGAACATTATTTGCCATCAGCATTACCACTGCTCTATATAAAAGTCCGGTCAGTAAAGCAGTATTGGAGCGTGTGTCAGGAGACACGTCTGACATTGATCGCTATGATCTTATACGGCTTGATCTGTCTAGATTGGTTGTTTCCACAACACTAAATCTTAGCCGGAGCTCCCGCTGCACCACCCGGCCGCACGGTCGAGCTCCATTCTAAATTCTGGCTGTAGTGTTTCATGGCACGGCGGCCCTGGGGTCATTTCTGTTAGGGCTTCTCTCTATTTCGCGTAACGGGAAGTTCGTACTCAGAAACCACTGACTTATTTATGTCGCTCCGTTAAGGGCGCTACACGTGGTAGCATGCCTTTATTTTTTTTTTAAATTACTCCAATAGTTTGTCGGTCCACTGTAATTTTTGTGGACCCCACGTGACCATCTCGTTAACTGCGTGGCTCCCGCCGTGCTGACCTTCATAGTCATGCATAATTTTGTGCAACACCTGACCTAACTGATTATTCCTTTCATCCAAAAAATGAAAAAAAACACACAAGGGCGGACCACCGTTCCTACGTCACTGGCACTGCTCACCCAAACATCTGAAATGCTCCCGCCCCCCCCCACTCTACCCCAACCCCCAGAACAAATATACTGAGAGAAACGCCATCCATCAATAAGTGTGTCCAGAAAGGGGGGGGGGGGCCCATTAATTAATTACGTCAACAATTTTAAGGCAATTTTACCCCCCTCCCCCTTGTCAACAACTGTCAAACTTTTAATGACACCCCCCCCCCGGACCTAAGTAATTATGTCAACATCCCCCACCCCCACCCCCCAAATGAATTATAATATATAGAAATGCATTTTAATTTGTGCTGATCTCTTTAAATAACACAAAATTGTAGGACAAAATTTGTATTGCATCTTTAGCTTGCTAATCAACAAGTTAAAACGTTTTTGCACTTAAATTTTATAATACAGAATCAATTAAAAGATTGTTAAAGACTAAGTAGTATTGTTTGTGGAAGTATAAATATGATTATTGTCAGTATAGCTGACAACTGTAGCATGCGTTCTAGCTGCTATCATCTTCCCAGGGAGTAGCCAGGTGCTGCTCTGTTGTAACAATGGGCATAGTGCATGATTTATCATTTTCATCTTGTGGAAATGATATACCAGACAAGTCAACATCATCCTCATCTAACCATTCTGCACTTAAAATAGAAACATCGTCATTGTGAGCAATAATTGCCATAAGCTCTCTCTCTCTCCTGGCAGCTACTTGCATTGAATCCTTTTTTGTTGAGTAGCAGGTGGCAATTGCTCATGCACTGTCGCTGCTGTTGAACTTGCTATTTCAACATGACTTGTGATGCAAAATAGATGTTACAGATTTTGCAAACCCGTTCAAGCAGCGATGTTATTATTGTTACTCACTTTACATTCACCTAATTCTCAAAGTATCGTATTCCAACTCTGTCAATCCCATTTATCTTGACCGCACATGACCCTTGAACCTTGTTGTCCTTGTTCCATACCTGCAACATGATCGTAAACATACCGCCCTAGTCATTTGTGGCAAATAGAATCTACAGTCGATGAGAGACCAACTTTTGACTTCTCTTGCGTTAACTAGATTTGACTTCTCTTGCGTTAACTAGATTTGACTTCTCTTGCGTTAACTAGATTTGACTTCTCTTGCGTTAACTAGATTTGACTTCTCTTGCGTTAACTAGATTTGACTTCTCTTGCGTTAACTAGATTTGACTTCTCTTGCGTTAACTAGATTTGACTTCTCTTGCGTTAACTAGATTTGACTTCTCTTGCGTTAACTAGATTTGACTTCTCTTGCGTTAACTAGATTTGTCTTCTCTTGCGTTAACTAGATTTGACTTCTCTTGCGTTAACTAGATTTGACTTCTCTTGCGTTAACTAGATTTGACTTCTCTTGCGTTAACTAGATTTGACTTCTCTTGCATTAACTAGATTTGACTTCTCTTGCGTTAACTAGATTTGACTTCTCTTGCATTAACTAAATGTGCTAACATTCTGACCAGTCATCAGCAGTCTACAGACAGACACAGATTAAATAAATCTTATATCGTTAAAAGTAAAAGCCTAAAAATTATATAACAATTTTAGTTTACACTCATTAAATTTGTTAAAATAATGTAATATTACTAATAACCAGTCAATTTTTAAGATTAAATTTTAAATCGAGAAAACATTATTGTTGACGTCAACTAATCTAAACACCCTCTCCCCCTTGTCAACAATTGTCAAACTTTTCCACAACCCCCACCCCTATTTTGTTGACGTGTAATTAATGGACGACCCCTTATTTCAAAAAGCATTGACCATAATACAACTTTCCCAGTTTGTCTGAAGCGACTTGTGGATGACTCCTCAAGGTAGAATCTCTCAGGTCAATTCCCACAAGAATCAAACCCAGGCCTGCACAACATACGGGCCTCGGGCCGCATGTAGCCCGCCAGCAACCACTTGGCGGCCCGCGAAGTAACGAAATATTCTTTATTTTTATTATTTTCTTAACAGCTTTCCCCCTGTCCTATCATCTTTCGGCCCGCGCAAGCTTTTCAGAAAGTATTACGGCCCGACTTACATTTTGAGTTGTGCGGGCCTGGTCTAACCAATATATACATGGAGATATTTTCATTTCATCTTCTTAGATATCTGGCTACCATTGCGTGGCAGGACATGTTGAAATGATGCCGGAGAGTAGAGCGGCAAAAGTTATATACTACAAGCAGAAGCCAAGGGGCAGACGACTCAACGGTCGTCCAAGGCTGAGATGGATCGATGATGTGGAGACGGATTTACACCAGTTGGGGGTTCACGCATGCAAGCGGAAAGCCATGGATCGCTCCGAACAGAAGAATGTGGTGGAGCAGGCCAGGGCCCTACATGGGCTGTAGCGTCACTGATGATGATTTTATATCACTTCACTCAAGTTCTCTGGACACCATCTTCCCCAAAAATTAAGATATTTTGTACCGGATCAATGATAACTTTAACTAAATTCTATGTACCCGGTATTTATAAAAAAAAAAAAAATAGCAATTAACATTTATTGAGAATTACAATATAATTATTTATTACTAAAAGATGACTATTGTTACATATACGATGACACTAAGAATCTAATGCCAGGAATTATTATCCAGGGTACAAAAAGGAAAGAGTGTTCTCCTTGATTAATGAATGCCCAATGGACAAAGGACCGGAATAGTCTCTTACTCGACTCTGTAAAGGGCATCATTCTTACAAAGTAAAATGTGAAGAATCTCACCTGTGAACAGTTTTATGCATACCGGTATGGGATTGCTAACGAGGATCTTCTGTGAAAAGTTGGCTCCTCAGAGAAATATGTCATGGAATTAATAAGGATTATAAGGTAATGATTGTACAATTGGTTATTTAAATGATGTTTTTTTGACATTTTGAAAAAGGCGTCCATTGACTTTGTTGTTTTTAACGTGACTGTTTCTTGGTCGATTCACTAAGATACCGGTACACTTAATTGGCAGCTATTACTGTTACAATCAAATTGTGCTGACTGTGAGTGTAATCTGGGACGACACAAATGAAACATTCGAAATGTCCTCCTTTGTCCTCTTTTTTGGTTTTATTATGTCCTCCTTTGGTGTCCACGTATCTGGCAACCCTAGAGTCAAGATCGACTATTAGCATCTAGTCATTAGACATCCGGTTTGGGGGGGGGCATGGTGAGTTCGTAGGTGGCCTAGTAGTCCGATCCGTGCTAGGAATAATCTCTGACCACGCGGGCAGGGGATGGTTGCTGTAGTGGTGATCTAATGTTGCCTTTTCGGGCTAGCCTGCGTGTCTCAGCTGCGGCTCTCCTACTGGCTTCATGAGATTGAGCCCCCTTCTTGACAGTTGACCTCCACCTGGCTCTGTACTGGACTGTCAGCACCCATTCAATTAGGTTGATGCTGAAGGCTTTTAGTGCCGCTTTCAGTTTCAATGTGTCCTTGTAACGCTTTCTTTGACCTCCTTGGGAGCGCTTGCCTAGCGTGAGTTCACCGAAGAATAGCTGTCTAGGGAGCCGGTTATCTTCCATACGGGCCACATGTCCCGCCATACGGAGTGGAGACTGCATCAGGGTGGTGAAGATGCTAGGTAGGTTCGCTCTAGCGAGGACCTCTTGCCACCTGATGCAGAGGAGTTTCCTGAGGCAGGTTGTGTGAAAATGATTCATTTTCTTAGCGTGACGCTGGTAGACTGTCCACATTTCACATCCGTAGAGCAGTGACGGGAGGACTGCTGCGCTATAGACCTTGATCTTCGTTTCTCGAGTGCTGTGGAGCCTGCCAAATATGGCACTAGCTTTTGTGAGTGGCATTCATTTCATCATCCATGACGACAGATCTAGAGAGGGTGCTGCCCAAGTAAGTAGATTTATCCACCAGGTTGAGACCCTGCCCACTGATGATGATGTTGGGTTCAACATAGGGCTCACTGGGAGCTGGCTGATACATCACCTCAGTCTTCTTTGTTTATTGTGAG